CAATTGCCACATGTTGCATATTTGAGGAGGCGCATGAGGACGTACCATTTTGTGATTCGGGCTCTGGAGCTTGCCGTGGGAAAGGAAGCTGAGCTGGAGCTTGACGCGGACGGTTGACGATTATGCGACAATGGAGATTTAAGTGGGTCAGTTCGGTGAGAGCTCGGTGAGTGGCCACCCGCACCACCAGCGCCGGACGCGGACGTTGCTGAGAGAAGACACACCAGGGTACATCGGCATGACGTCGATAACATTGAACACAGGTAGGTACCTAAGGAAAGCAGTCCCTGACCTGGCAACTCGTACCAGGGTACCTACCTTAAGCAATAGAAAAGACAACACTTGAGATCCGCAACTTGAACTGTTTTCTTATTACAATTTGCAAGCTGTCGGCTTTCGAAAGCTTCTGAACAGGCATCGCTATGTACCTCTAAGCATCCTAAGACAAATTATCAAGTTATCCTAGTTGCGTTGCAAGCAGGGGTACTATCCGTATGGGCAAGCACCAATTCAGTTTCGCCTCGATCCAATTGACTTTCGGTACTCTCAGAAATGCAGGGAACACTTTGAGGAGTTCTTCTACAGAATGACAAAGCAATTTTCATGCCTGGCTCAAAAATTCCACGTGTGCTGAATGTCCGCTTCACAAAAACAGCTTTTAGAACGCCGAACAACAAAAGGATGACCAACGTGGGGCTCGAACCCACAACCCCCAGATAACCACACGTCACGGACGAGATAGAAGTCTGATGCGCTACCATTGCGCCAGCCGGCCCGATCTGCTGACCAATCGCTGATTGGGCAGGTTGACGGCGGAAGCTACATCTCGTCTGATGAACGCTTCCCCGTGCGCAATCAGAATGCGTCCTGGGCAATCGCGATGGTTTGTAAATGCCTTAGAAGTTCGTAATGCTACCTAGGAAGACTTTCATAGAAGCCAAAAAGCTCTCATTGAATCTAAACCTTTACAATGTTCTATGGGGAAAAGCTTGACAAAGCTTCAAGTGCGCATCAAGTTTTCTTCCCCTCACCAACTTCCGATGCTACTTGGGGTTGGTGAAGAAGCTTTCAACATCTTCCTTATTACCCCACATTTGCTTTGCTAACGATTCCCTGGGGTCTGGGCAGGAGACTGGATTGCAGTAATACGAATCATTCTAGCTGTGTGCATGTACTTTTCTTCTTGTGGCCATGCTTGTAAAAAGACAATGGAATTTCCAAGTCCCAGCATATGCTAACAATTGGGGTATCAGTGTAGTGACTCACTTACCACTTCACAGGATATAAGTACACGCTCTGCAACCCCTCTTGGGCTTTCAACAATCACAGCTTTGCGAGATCGATTGCTTCAGCTGGATTGGCTTGGACCCCGACTCAAGCCCTGTGCCGCCGAAGAGCAAGACACAGGAACAAGAGCCAAAACTGCTGATAGGTATCCTACCTTCATGAATCCCTCTTAGCAAATGCTTACCACCCGCTTCTGAAATGTGACCCGAAGAGTCGGGAAGCCTTTAAGGTTATTCATAGGTGGTTTCACAGCCAATGAGCCTTGCTCGGTTGCTCTGGCAAAATGCTCATAGACTTAGTTTACTGGGTGAATGATGTAATCTCTCAATCGCTGAGCCCATTTGCACCAATCGAGGTCATGTTCATCGTCAAGTTCATCTTCGCCCTGTTCCACTTTGTTGGTGATAAAAAGTAGTGTATGTTACTTGACTGCACTTAGGTGATGGCGTCTCACTACCTACCTTATGTGAAGAACCTTGACTAAGACAGCTGTCTGCCATGTCGTTCCATGCTGTCTCTTCGGTTTAGAGCGGAGCCCCGACATATTGCTCTGAACCTCGAACTGGAACCAGCTCCGAAAAAATGGTCTTCTTAATGATGATAAGGTGGTGATCGTGGTTCAGATAGGCTAGCGGACGAAATGACGAAATCGCAAGACCCGATTGCGAATGCCGTTGACATTGTCGAAATACCCATTTCGCTGACCTGGAGCCCAGCCGGTTGGTCGACCGATGAGCGGGCGCCGTCCGACGACCCACCAGCGATACCACCGAGCTACCGGGGCCCCGTGGGCTAACACCGCAACACGCTCAGGCTTGATTCTCTTACTAGCTTTTAGGGGAAGGTTCCTGCCGTTGTAGTCTACTGAAATGTGGGAGCCGGCAATGGAGGTGCTGCGTCACTCATAACACTTCCATGCGACATATAACAGTTACTTTGCAGTGCCTGGAAGCACATATCTCGATCTCAAGGCGGCTTTTCTGTTCCTGCTTGGTTTTGGAGTAGATATCTGTGAAGTTGCAAGATCACAGGCTTCACATTTCACCATGTTGCCAATTCTTAGCCTGTCAACGTTGGCGACACTGGCCCTCGGCGCCTCCGCTGTCATCGCTCAGAGCGTGCAGCAGCGTCAGCCGAACATTGTCTTCATCTTGACTGATGATCAGGACGAGCAACTCGGTTCCCTTGACTACATGCCTTATGTTCAGAAGCATTTTGTTCAGCAGGGAACATACTATCGCAAACACTTTTGCACGATCGCAATTTGCTGTCCTTCTCGTGTCAGCTTGTTGACGGGGCAAGCGGCGCACAACACCAATGTCACATATGTTACTCCCCCTCACGGTAAGTCGTTAAGCATCTACTGCCAATAGAGTGACAATAGTCTGAATATTCTCATAGGTGGCTACCCGAAATTTGTCTCCCAAGGTTACAACGACAAGTATCTTCCTGTCTGGCTTCAGGACGCTGGCTACAACACGTATTACACCGGCAAGCTCTTCAACTCTCACTCTACCCAAAATTGGAACAATCCCTTCCCCAAGGGCTGGACTGGGAGTGACTGTAAGTCATTGACAACACCTAGAATTCGGGGCTTCATTGCTAACTCTAGCCTAGTCCTTCTAGATCCCAACACCTATCTCTACTTGAATGCAACGTTCCAGAGAAACCAGAGCCCACCTCAGACTTTCCCGGGCGAGTACAGTAACGACTTGGTTGCCGAAAGAGCTCTCGGCTTCTTGGATGATGCTCTCAAGTTCAACGGCAGCAAGCCTTTCTTCTTGGGTGTTGCACCAATTGGTCCTCACAACAACGGACTTGGCGGCGAGACCAGTGCTGGTGCGACACCACCCATCCCCGCGAAGAGGCACGAAAACCTCTTCTCAAACGTGACTGTTCCTCGCACTTACAACTTTAACCCTGACAAGGTAAGACTATCGACTTGCTGATCCAGGTCGTTGGTCGCTTACGCTACTTTTATAGCCGAGCATGGCCAACTGGGGTCTCATCATCCCCCAGCTGAACGCCACCGAGATAACATATGGTGATAACTACTACCGCCGCCGTCTCCAAACACTGCAGTCCGTTGATGAAATGGTTGACGCCATCGTCAAGCGTCTCGATCAAGCCGGTGTCCTCGACAGTACCTATGTCATCTTCACGTCTGACAATGGCTTCCACATTGGACAGCATCGTCTTAAGCCAGGAAAGACTTGCGCGATTGAGGAAGACATCAACGTGCCCTTCTTGATCCGCGGCCCCGGCGTGCCAAAGGGCAAGACTGTGGACTTTGTCACAACCCACACCGACATTGCTCCTACGATCTTCTCGTTGGCCAACATCACCCTACGTGACGACTTTGATGGTTCTCCTATTCCCTTCTCTGAGAATGGGATCCAAAAGGCCCAGAATGACCCTAAGCATGATCACGTCAATGTTGAGTTTTGGGGTACTCAACGCGGATATGACGCGTTTGGCGGAGGTCAGTTCATTTAATTCATATTGGATCGTTCCAAGCAACTTGGCACTAACGTCCTATTAGCATCTGCGAACAACACTTACAAGGCTATGCGTGTTCTCGGCGACAATTATAGCCTGTTCTACTCAGTTTGGTGCAGCAACGAACGCGAATTTTACGACATGAAGGTAAGTCTGATTTTCAGGAGTGGATGTTCATAAATCATGACTAGTTACTCACTCCTGTTATAGAAGGACCCAGGTCAAATGAACAACCTTGCCGGAAGCGCTTCAGGTCAGCTTCTCGATCGTCCCTTGTCCGTCGTCCAAGACCGTCTTGATGCCCTTTTATTGGTCCTCAAGAGTTGCAAGGCCGAGACTTGCAGGCTTCCATGGAAGCACATCCACCCTGAAGGTGGCGTCGAGAACCTCCGGGATGCACTTGATCCCAAGTTTGATGAGTTTTACGCCGGACAGCCCAAGATTTCCTTCTCAGACTGCAAGGACTTCTACGACATTGCTTCTGAGGGAGCGCAGGATACTTTGGTCCATTACGACCCGTGAGTCTCAATTAGAAATATTTATGACTGAGGATGGGTGCTGAGTGAGTTGAAGTGCGATGTTGGATGAAGGTCTTCTGGACAAGCCATCGCTTTCGGAAGAGCTGTAGTATTCGGGCCTTCAAGTAAATGTCTGCTGATCGGCTTTGCACCCGAGGAGCCGTGCATATTGATACCGACAACATGAATCAGATACAGGAATATTACCTTGCATTCCGTATAGGTCGGTGGATTGCATGAGACTCTGAGGCCTAGTGTGATGAATGTAAGAAAAAGGCACTATTTCCATGCTAAGAGCCCGGCCTCGGTCCGGCGTCTTGTGCCGATCGCCTAAGACACCGAGGTGTCTTGGGAGATGGGACAAATCCGTATAATCCCATTGGCTCTCCGCACTTTTGCTCCAAATGCCGAAAGCCGTCAATATCTCGATAAAAGACCTAGCTGCTTCGCGTTCTTCAACATTATTCGTTGTGATTTACTCAAGAGTCATTAGGGTAAAACGCTGTAAATTTGTTCTCGTGGTTGCTCGTCCTCAAAAGGAAGCAGGCTCCGTGTCCTACCGAAGCAATGACCGTCGGGCCTGCCCTATCTAGCGATTCATACTATGTTCAGTTCAGAACATCAGCGGCTTGAATATCTTGCGTCTGAACTCTCTTCCCAGTATTGACAACCACGAAATTCTCAGGTCTCGCTCAGATGGACAGCGATAATTACGACTCCCAGTCGGGCGATGACGCCGAGAAGTATTCCGTGCCTTCGGCATGGCCACCCACCGACCGGGATTCCTTCGAGGTATCTTTTGATGGGATCGACGACCCTTTTTGCCCACACAGCATGTCACTGTTTCGGAAGTGGACCATCGTTACAATACTGTGCAATGTAACGATTTGCGTGTAAGTAGAACGCCCCGAAGGCAGCCTCTAGTCTATTCCAAATGTAGCTGATACTGACCATCGGATCATCCAGTACCTGCACTAGCTCAGCATACACATCCACATACACCCAGATGAATGCCGAATTTGGCACATCATCTCTTGTCTCCACTCTCGGACTGTCAACGTTCCTCTTGGGTATTGCCTTCGGGCCACCAATGATCAGTCCTTTGAGTGAGTATTACGGACGACGTCCCATCTACCTCGGGACATGGTCTCTTTTCATCCTTTCGACAATTCCATCAGCAGTTGCAAAGAACATTCAAACCATACTGGTTACTCGATTCTTCAGTGGTGCCTTTGGCGGTACCTTCCTCTCAGTGTCAGGAGGGACCGTGGGCGACATCTTCCTACCACACCAAATCCAACACCCCATGTCTCTTGTGTCGCTAGTGCCGTTCATGGGGCCTTGCGTGGGCCCAATAGTCGGCGGATTCATCAACTACAACATCAATTGGCGATGGACCTATTATATCATGATCATCTGGTCTTCGATTTTGATGGCCATTATTGTATTTTTCACGCCCGAGACCTTTCATCCAATCAGGTTATACATGAAGGCCAAGCACCTCCGCCAGCAAACTGGCGATGACCGGTATAGAGCGCCGATGGAGAAGAAGAGCGGAGATGTTCAGCCGTCGAAGGCTTCCATCATAGCAGCCTCCATGCTACGACCCTTACAGTTCAACTTCTTGGAACCTATGTGCCTCTGCCTTAACGTATACTCGGCAATCTTACTGGCTATACTGTACTTGTTCTTCCTGGCGTTCCCGCGCCTCTTCCGAACGGAGTATGGGATGAACCTATGGCAAGGTGGTCTTACATTCCTTGGCATTATTGTAGGCATGTGCTTGGCTGCAGCATCATCACCAGTCTGGTCCAACATCCGCACGCGACTTGTGGAGAAGCACGGGACTAGTGAGCCGGAGTTCCGATTACCGCCGGCTATGTTGGGCGGGTTCCTGATACCGATCGGGTTATTCTGGTTCGGCTGGACGATAAGTCCCAATATCCATTGGATAGTACCAATCATCGGCTCCGGCGTCTTCGGCTGCGGGTAAGTCTATTGACTCCAACGAACATGCAAAATTTTATTGGAGAGGCCTAAATTCTCTCATTCCTTCACACTTATCATCTCATCGGAGACAAGGAAGTTCTTTGTCAGATGAAAGCTAATCGGTCCAATGCTACAGAACGGTTCTAGCCTTTACTGGTATTTATACCTTCCTCGTACGTTGAAGATGTGTCCCTCTATCTCAAGAGTTTCTTTTACTGACCACACTTTCAGATTGATGCGTATGCAAAGTATTCTGCATCGGCACTGGCGTCTAATGGACTGACTAGGTGCCTGTTCTCTGGTAAGTCTTGTTTTCTCAATAAGCCACGAGCCTTCCAGTTCTCTAACTCTGTACGATTTCAGCTGCGTTTCCATTATTTGGCGTGCAGATGTATGACAGACTCGGTCACCAGTGGGCAACAAGTCTTCTTGCATTCCTTACAGTTGCTATGATGCCCTTCCCATGGCTGTTCTTCAAGTATGGCAATGCTTTAAGGGGGAAGAGTAAGTTCGCGCTCCATGACAAGATGTAGAGTCTCAGAGAAAGTCCTAGAATATATATATGGATGTTACACACTTGCGCATTGGCGGCTTTATAATTCCTGGTTTTGGATTTGTCGTGGGAATAATATTCCATGCTACCTTAGTATTATGTCCTCGCCATAAAGTCATTCACGGCAGTGCATTCTCTTGGAATAGCCCCTCTATATATCCTCTCGTGTCTTGGATATCACACCCTGCAAGAACCCATCCATCTGGACTTTGAGCAGCCGGCGCTCCTGCTGAGACCCGGGGAGGTTGAGTGGGGTTTTCCTCACTAGTGTCACACAAGGCCGGCAGAAGTCTCATTGCGTAACTATTGTGGTCCTTGGTCTCGTTGTCAAGATACTGCAAGACGATCGCCATGTGATTTGCGTCTCCCAGTTCCAAAGTTGGTGCTGGCTTTCCGGTGAACTCCTCAACTAAGATGTCGCGAACACGAGAATAAGCTAACAGAAGAGTGTTAGTGATCTAGTCCTTTCGAAAGACGACTAATAATAACTTACATCTTGGCGAGTCCTGTGCAAACTGTTGATTTGAAACAGCACTCTCCAGCATCTTCAGAATTTGTACTCGCAGAGTTGTCTCCTTCAATCGAGCAGACACGACTTGAGTCATGAATTCCTCAGGTGAAGCGGGTATCTGCTGGAGTTTCGTCGTTTTTTCTGCGTACTTGTTGGCTAGGGTGATGAGGCCGGTCCAGAAAGGATCCCGCAGCGCCATTAAGATGTCTTCCTCAGGGAAATACTTCCTACACCAAGACAGATCCTGAGAGCCGGCTCCGGCGTTGGCGAAGGATGGGACGTTCTGGGTAAAGATCACCCGAGCGCTGGGATGTTTGTCGCTGAGGCGGGCCTGTAGGGTCTTGTGAAACTGAACTTGCCTCTGTGATAGAGCTAGTCTACTCGCTCGGGTCATATCGTCGGTGGCGATACCTTGTCGGGAATTATAACCAAAGAAGAGATGGTAGACATTGATATTGGGTAATGCATTGATGAAATCCCAGACATCATTATCTTCGCAGGGCGCGACCTGGAAGACGTCCACGAAAGAACCTCTGCCAACCCTGGCGACTTCTGCTGCTAAAGACTCTCCAGTTGCCACGGGGAGATCTTTGGTAGGTCGAAGGTTCTTGTACCAGCTTTCGTGGGGCGCTGCCTGGCCCAGAACGTTGGTCTTTGTCTGAAACCATGCAGTTCGTGTTTCCCACCCAGCTGGTAAGGCAGGCTGATGCTTCTCAGCGCGGTTAAGATAATCGGACATCGCAAGGGCCATCTTGCTGCGTTCTTCAGCGCCTGTAAAGACTAAGATAACGCGGTCGTATTGAGGTTTCACAGGGTTCTTGATATCGGTTTTCATAAGTGCGACAGCAATGCCGGCTTTGTCGTCCATTTTCGAATCCGTTAAGACAACCGCTACCCTAGCCGCCATGGCCGAATGGGTAGCGATCCAACAAAGGACCGCAAAGAATAAAAAGTGACGAGTCATTTGATTATGTCAATGTTCACTTCTCTCAAGATCGAAGCAGACTGGTGTCACTGATCAGTGCGACTAGTCTATGTACTTTATATAATCAGTCGGCCTCATAGCATTTGCTTTCAAGTGAGCGGCTGGGGCCTACGAAGGGCTGAGCGTCGTATTGGTCAATGATCAAGTAGTATACCGTATGATTCGCCACATCACTCATAGACTCATATCACAAAGTCTATTATGGAGATGGGAGATTAATAGCCAGAGCTCAATTGTAACCATCAGCCGGTCAAACTTTGTGACGAGCAATGGATTCTCAGGCATCTTCTATCAAGTGTGGAAGTTTATTTTATTATTTCCCAAAGGGCCGACCCGCCGTCCCGGTCTCTCCGGGGGCGGTGTACACGATCAAAATCACTTGTAAGTAGGAATCTGAGCAACAATTCTCGTACAAATTTACGCCATTACCCACAGCGAGTGTCGATTCTCGTTGTAGTGAAGCGTTGATGTCTAGGCACGGCTCCCGACCCCATGCCCCCCAAATCTCAACATCAACTACTTTGATAATCATGACCGCCTCACCTTGCAGTGACTAGACGGAATATGGTAATCATTTGAAGTAACTGGCAGAGACTCTCATCTTAGAACGAGAGTGTCTTGCAATCGAACAAAAACTTCGGAGTAACTTTTCTTTTCCGTGCCTGAGATAGGAGACCCTCCTGAAGCAGCCCAACCTCAACCTTGAATAAATTTCGTTATTCAACTGATGCCCACATCTTGCACACGATTTCTGTACACGGCCGAAAGTCTCATCGCCACCAAGCCACCCAGCGCAATCACACTCGCTGCACTCTTCATCTCGAGAACATTGAGGACTACACCAACTTTTTGTCTCAGCCAGTTTCGAAGCTCAACTGTGACCAAGGAATCCGTTTGCAGCGGCATTGTCAGGTCGAAGTCCTCATCTTGTCGCATCATGAAGCCCCGCAATGCTGCACCAATCTCCCCAGCCAGGAAGTGTTTCGCCTCGTCTGATTCCAGCTGCGAGGGATCTAACACACATCTCTGAAGATAATCTTTCAGAATACTTTCTGATGTGTGCTGATCGATAGGACCGTCTACAGACACAGTCTTTGCTAGGAATCCGGCCCGTGGATCTTGCTGCCAACCAGTTCTGTTTATGGAAGACGAAGACCGCATTCCGATGGCAAGCTGACTCGAATTTGAGTAGCCTTCCATCGAATGCAATAAGGGCTGCGTATGAGTCCTCTTCTTCGCTTGAGATCTCTCAATCATCAACTCCATGGCATCAAGGAGGTCTTGTTCATGAAGGCAATGCTGAGAAGTTAAGCGAAGAGCTTCGAGGCGATTGGTCTCCCTGGCAAGAACACCGATGTCTTCCATGATGCCAATATCAAGTACAGAACATGCTAGACCCTGAGAATGCCGGTACTGAACAAACGCATCGAGGAATGCGTTCCCAGCAGCATAATTGGCCTGTCCAATCTGTCCTCCCAAACCCGAGAGGGAGCTGAAGAGAAAGAAGAAGTCAAGAGGATCTCTCTGTGCTTGGAGAGCGTAGTGGAGATTCCAAGTTCCTTGTACTTTTGGTGAGACGGCAGTCTGCCATTGCTCAAAAGTCATGTCGGCGAAGTGAACATCCTGGGGCGTAGTAAGTATTTATCCAGAAATCAGAAAATGCCAGAAATAGGACATACCTGAAGTACCATTGCAGCGTGTAACACCCCAGCAATTGGAGTAGTTGCTGAGTCAACCATCCTCACCACATCCGTCATCTCGTTGACACTACCAGAAACGGCTTGAACCGTGCAGCCTAGAAATTCAAGCTCCTTGAAATATGCTGAGTGGGCGACATCTTTGGCAGATCTGGAAAAGAATATCAAATGACGAGCCCCCTTTTCGATGAGGAATCTTCCGGTGGCTTGACCCAATCCTCCAAGACCGCCGACGATGACATAGGTTCTATCCGAACGGAGAGATAAACTTCGTCGTAAGGGAAGAGCTTGGAGCTCTATGTTGCTCTCGGGCATCTTGATAATAACTTGGCCGATACGCCCTTCACTTTGCAAGTACTTGAAAGCTGACAGTATGTCAGAAGCTGGAAAGACTGTAATGGGCTGCGAGGGCTTATTGAGTCCAAACTTGTGGAACAAGAATGCCTGCTCCAGAAGACTGCAAGGTCTCATGTTAGTGAGTCAAACTTTGGATGTGGAAGATCTCAAGACTAAGGTCTTGGAACAAGGACCTACCGAGTACTCTCCTCGGGCTGGTGAACTCTCATTTCCTCGAGGTCAATGTTCACCAAAGTTCGGTTGCGGCAACTCTTCAAAGTATCCGCCATTTGATCTCCACCATGTCGTACTTGTACCATCGTTCCAAACGGCTTGAGACATGCCCAGCTCTCCTGCATAGATTCAGGACGCGTGCTGAAGACGATGTCCACACCCCGGCTATTTGTCTCGTGTAGGATCTCAGGCACCAATGAGGTGATATCGGAGCTTAAGATACGGTTGCTCGGAATACCGTACAACTTCTGCAGATATCGGGCTTGTGTCGCATTCTCCGTCGTGCAGAACATCTGGGGCAGAGTTCAGTCAGGCTTTCATCCCAAATAGGTCCGCGCGAGGATGGACGAATGGAGCTTACCTCTGCACCGACCATTTTTGCGACTTGGATAGCAGCTAAACCAAGAGCACCTGGCGTTGAATGAATCAGAAGAGTCTAGAGAGTCAGCAGATGCCCAAGTAACGATGTGCTTATCTCGACAAGAAGAGCCTACCTGGTTCTTCCTCAACCTGCCAAGCTCCATAAGTCCATAAAGCACCGTGCTATAAGAGTAAGGATACGAAGCAGCCTCTTCAAATGTCATTTCGTGTGGAATATCTGCACAAAGAGACTCCGGGACGATGATTGTGGTGGCCAAGGAGCTACAGAGGTTAAACGCAACACGATCACCCACTCGGAATCGACAGGCCTTTGGCCCGACAGCTGTCACAACACCACTACCTTCAAGGCCAATTTTGGCGCAAGCGCTACTGCTGTCTTTTAAGTGACCCGATGAGAATTTTGAGTCCTTAAAATGCTGGTCAGTGTTCTGAGCCTTTCAAGTCATTTCTGGATCTTTCAGTTGACGTACCTCTGCGTTCAGACTAACAGCTTTCACTGAGACTTCCACACGATCGTCGCTCAGCGTCGTGGCTTCTGACTCTTCCCATGTTGAAGATTGCAAAATTCCGGGCTTCTTCATTCTCAAGACCTTGGGTGCACCCTCGCATCGCTGGCGTAGGTCGTCGGAAACCTTGACAGAATGGAACCGACATATTTGAATCAACCCCCCGGAGCTGACATATTCAGAATCCGCCTTAGTGCCGTCAATGCTGCTTCGGTCGCCAAGAGACTCGAAGACAGTGGTCATGGCATTCCATCCGCTACCGTCGTAAGATTCCAGTTCAAGGGTGACCAGGTCAATCGACAATTCTCTCCGGATGCTGCGGGTCACACCCAGTGTCAAAGAGTACCTTGGGTCTTTGCATTGAATTTGAGAGGCTGCAGTGATCCAAAGGAATCTCTCATCCTGCGCAGAAGACAAAGACTTCTTAAGGTTTTCCCACTGGATGCTATCCATGTCATGAAGGAAGGGGCCTTCCAGATCTAACAAACACACGACGGCCTGACCATGGGGCAGCTCCTGCCCAAGGGAAAAGAACTGTGGGCAAATACCGCGGGATTCTAAGTTGCTTGTTGCTGCAACAACCAGATGATGACTTGGGTCTTGACAGATGATGCTGGCCTTGCTCATTTTTGGGAAGTCAGCAAATGGTGTGGCGACAGTGACCCTACCATGCTCTCCTGCGAAGGTAAAGGTTGAGGCATTGTCGAAGCCAGCGTGACTTAGTTGATTCAGCAATATGTCAGGACTGCCCAGGGAGCCGTAGCCGAAATCGAAGTTAGTAGATAGCCCGTATGCGAATCGAAGAAGGTTGGATTCGGGGTTCGCATGTTGAAGAATCAGATGACCTCGCGGACTAAGCAGTCTTCGCATGTTGATTATGGAGACGTTCGAGAAAGAGGATAGCGTAGGTTCGGAGATGATGAGATCGAATGATTCTTCCGAGAAGCCCTGCAATGATAGATCTACGTCCATCACGAACTGCTTGTAGGTAACAGCCGGTGCTGACTCGAAACGGTTTCTCAAAGAATTCGGCGGTTTTGAGAAAGCCCCGGTATAAACGTAGCTACCATATGGAAAGTTGATGTCATAGGAACACAATAACTTCGATAGCAAGTCATCGCTCTCTCTCGCGCCTATGTGTAAAACTCTCAACCCTGGGTTCTTGTGCCCTAGAAGTCGAACAAAGTCGGTGAAGTCTACGTCAGCTATGAGGTTGGCAACTCCATCGAAATGGCTGGGCTGTGCGAGTGGCTTCATCGCATGGGGCAATCCGGAGAAGCAGTCTGCGCCAAAGGTATGCACGTGGAAGATCGACACAGAGGCGTTCAACGCAGGAGTCCGCTTGCAAGACTCTGCCATTTTACCGATAGACTCGAGCCTCGCCTTGTGATTCATCGTTGCGATGTCGAAAGCGTTGAGGACATCTGCGTACCGCCCAGTCATAGCCTTGCGATATGACGCATCAAGCCAACTCTTGTAGTTCACAAAGTGAGGTTGCGTAGCAGGAAGAAACTGAAGCTGAGTTCTCAGATCAACGATGCAGGCCAAAACCAGTTCATTCAAAATGTTGAAACTGGCATCCATTTCCCGACGGCGGAATAGTTGAGTCAGCTTCGTGAAGTTAATGTCTGGCATCCACTTCAAAACGACACCAGCGTGAGGATCATCTGCTTCTTGGTCACTGGTAACTCCACAGAGTTGAGTGACCTCTAAGCCAGAGATCTTGATCACGACTTGTCCATCGGAAATTCCAACAATATTGCTCTTGGCAATTACTTCAGCCTCATTATCGGCACTAGCGACAACATTGATCTGTCCGGTTGGTCGAGCAACATACACCTCTTGGATGTAAGTGGGAACAACTAGACCTTGGAAGTTTCGCTCCAGGCCATGGGCCTCGGATATCATTGCCACGTGCATGCTTGTGTCGAGAGTAACTGGATGAATCGAATAGGGCGAATTGGTGTAGCCTGCGAGCTTGCCATCCAGTGTTGCAAAAGCCTTGGCTTCCCTAACATGTGAAATGACGTTGGACAAGCCCCTAAAGTTGGAACCGTAGTTCAGACCATGTCTTTTCCAAGTGTTGTAGAATGAATTTGCTGAAGCTTTACGTGGTAGGATAGGCATGTCAGGGACAGCATGCCTCCGATCTGAGCCGGGTTTGCACTGGCCAAAGACATGGCTGACCCATACTTCACTCCCATCTGCAAGTGAGGATATTGAGAAATCGTAAACGCTCTTCTTGCTCGAAGTCTTTGACTTTGACGGATTGAGTATCGTCACAACCTCGACTGGCTTTTCATCGAGAACCAAAGCTGCTTCCATGGACACAGCTTCCAGTGTAAAGTCCACGAACCCGTGAAGCTGCCTCAGAGCCTCTCCTATCATAGAAATGAAACCAGAGGCAGGAAGTGTGATGTTGTCCCGGATGACGTGTTCTTGCAGCCATGGAACATCCTCAAGCCGTAGAATACACCTCCAAGCGGGGCAGGCGTCCGAAATCTCTTCGACGCGAGAGCCGAGAAGTTCGTGATGATCGAATGTCCTGAAGCGCCAACTGCGAGAAATTCTGCTTTCTTTCCAATACTCCTCATCGTAGCGCCATGGATATGTCGGAAGATCTGTTAGAAACTGTCCCGGTGGATTGACGGCAGCCATGTTAATATTGATGCAGGCCACCCAGAGCTCCCCTCCAGTCTTCAGAACGGCTGAAATGGCATCCTGATTGCGCACCAGCGTCGGTATGTATTGGGCAGGCATGTTTTTGAAGTTCAGGATTTGACGGATAGGCCCGGCAAGGGCGGAGTGAGGGCCAATCTCGACGAAAACTGGGGATTTGAAATCGTCTAGGACTCCTTGTACCGCTGTATTGAACAGAACAGGCGAGATGACGTTATGGACCCAATATGTGTGAGACATGTCTGTGTTCTTCTCTCCTGTCACAGACGAATAGAACGGGATTCGTGGCTCCTTGTTCTGAAGCAGTCCCTCCAGACGGGATGTGAAATCTGCGGCGGCAGTCTTCATATGATCTGTGGTAGACATTAGTCGGGCGATCACGATACGAAACCAGGAGCGGTGTAACATGAACTCACGAGAGTGGTATCCGCACTCAACGCGGAGCTTCCGGGCGAGAACATCTGGGTGCTTAGAGCTGAGCTCCAGAAGAATCTCCTCAAGAACATCGCTCTCGCCCGACAGAGTGACATTTGACGGAGAATTGTCACAGCCGATGATGACACCTGGGCGAAGAAACCGCCCAACTTGTTTTCTGCCAAGACCAACTGCTGCCATGCTGCCATTGCGTGCAGCTTTTATGAGACGAGTGATCTGACCACGGTGATAGGCGATCAAGATAGCCTCTTCAGCTGTAATTGCACCAGCCGCATAGGCAGCAGCGGTCTCGCCCGAAGAATGTCCCACTACTGCAGCTGGCGCAATGGCCCATGAGCGAAGCAAATCGACGAGCGCGACTTGAATCGCAACCAAGCATGGCTGCGAAAACTCTGCTTCATGGAGGCGACTCTCTCCTTTCGGGGCAGATAGTAATTCTGAGAGGTTCAGATTATCAGTGGGATTCCAGCAAGTTTCGTAGATATACCAACCTCGTAGTGTCCATGGTGGAGGATCTGGAAGACCTGCAAGAACTCCATCCATGGCATCGATCCCGTCTTTGAACAACCCCTCTTGCTCTAGAAGTTCTTTGCCCATTTGAGCCCATTGGGCCCCTTGACCCGTGAAGACCCAGACTACATCTGGCGGGGCCGTTGTTGCTTTGACAACTGATGAAATCTGAAAGGAACTGCTGCCGTCGGTCACACAGAAAGCTCGATATGGGTGTGTCTCTCGATGAGATGCTAATGAGTGTGCGACGTCGCCCAAGCTTGCAGGTTTGTGACTCAAATAATTCTGAACCTTGCGGCCCATAACACTGATTGACTCAGGATGTGTGGCGGAAAGTGGCAAGAGTTGGTGTTTTGGAACGTTAGTCCCTGAGCTCAGGCCGTTTGTTAGGGTGGAAGTTGATAGGCCAAAGCAAGAGGCAGATTCCAGCAACACCTACAGAAACCAAGTTGTCAGCTGATAGAAATTCCAGATCCATCAAATCGAAAACCCACGTGAGCGTTCGAACCACCGATACCAAAGCTGTTGATTGAGACCCGCTGATCTTTATCAGCTGGCCAGGGTACAGGCTCTGTGGGAACTCTGAGTTTGGCACTCTTCCATGGAACTTAAGTCAGAATTTTATTAGTGACTGCTTCCAGTGGTGCTGCACTTCAATGTAGCTTACTTCGAGGATTAGGAGTTTTGAAGTTGATGTTTGGTGGTATGGTGGAGTTCTCCAATGCCAGAACCATCTTGATCACACTGGAGAGCCCAGAAGCCCCTTCGCCGTGACCGATGTTTGGCTTGACCTAATAGATCTTGTAAGTAACCGATCTCGAAAGATTTTACATGGCTTTCAATTGCTTACTGAGCCGATATAGATGCCGTGATCACCCCAGATGTTGGCCACTGCACTGACTTCCAGGGGATCCCCAACCTAAGCATGAAAACGTTTACTTAGCCAAGTTGACATGTCTTCGAGAGTTCCTGCAATAAACTTACAAAAGTACCAGTTCCGTGACACTCTACCATCGCGGTCTTGGACAAGTCGGTGATCCCAGCCATCTTGTGTCCCCTTCTCATGAGCCTTTCGTGTATTTCAGGGTTCGGCGTCGTCAGTCCTGGGGTTCTGCCATTTCCCGCAGTGCAGGTTGACCGAATAACTGCTCTGATAGGATCGCCATCGCGTACTGCATCGGACACCTTCTTGATGTAAATGGCAGAGACGCCTTCACCGCGTGCGAATCCATCGGCTTCGGCGTCGAAGCTTTTGCATGCTGCTGACGGAGACAGCACTCCGTTTTGCTGCATGATAACGGTGTCCTTAGGGCTGAGGATGAGGTTGACACCCCCAACGATGGCAGATGAACAGTCTCCGCTGTGGAGGTCTTGGCATGCCTGATGCAGTGCAACAAGAGATGCGGAACATGCAGTTCGAACAACGACGCTGGAGATGTTGTGAGAAATCATAAAGAGATAAACCATGGTAAGAGACTTACCTCGGTCCTGTAAAATCAAACTCATACGACGCCCGGTTGGCAATGATATAGTCTCCATACACATCAGGGCGAACCTGTTGGAGGCTTTGACTGTCGCGAGACTCAAGCTGACTCCAGTCTTCTCCCATGGTTCCAACGTAGACCCCAACATCGTAACCTCTCCATCTCGTGGAACCTGAATTCTCAAGGGCTTCATAAGCAACTTCGAGGAATAGACGTTGCCGGGGGTCCATGAGTTCGGCCTCCTGCTTTGTGAAAGACCAGAAGCTAGGGTCTACATGGGCCAGGTTGATGTCATCGAGAAAATAGCCAAACTCGCTGGGAACGTGGGCAGCTTTTCCACTGCCATACCAGGTGTCGATGTTGTAACGACTCTTTGGAACTCGGCAACGTCCGCTTCTGCCGTTGACAAGGAGGTCCCAGTAGTCGGTAGCGTTATGGACGCGTCCTGGGAGTCTCATGCCCATGCCTATGATTGCGATGGGCTCATACAGACAGGGTTCTTGATGGGTCTCATTGCAAAAACCATTCATTGGGGGTTTGGTGCTATTGGTCATGGTGTCAAGTCGATGTGTAGAGATTGATAGTACAGTCCCCTTTCCATACTCACTGCGTCCTACCCATAAAAGCGACAACAGGCACAATGCTTGATTATATGCGGGCTTTTCTGGCAACTCTGTGGTTCAGTCGTGACAAAATCTGCTGGATTGTTACCGAAATAAGAGACATGGCTTACTTCGAGGCTATGAGTCCAAGAGTGAATCAGCCTTTGACATTCCAATAGCGTCAATCTAGGCATGCAATGAGTTGGCGGCTAATTCAGGAAAATTTGATTACATTGGTTCTTGTCCGGGGCTCCCTACAGTCATCATCGCGAATCGGTACGTAAAGGAAACTTCCGAGGTCCGCACATCTTTTCATGTGGCCTGTGATATTCATGAAGCTGATTCGGTCGGGAGAGGTACGGCACAGCAGGAACACGAGGTTGACCCAACGATCCAACCGCATTAAGCTTACAACCCGACGGCGTTCCATATCTTAGGTCAGACGGGACTTCAGTGTGGTGGATATCCTTCAAAGTTCTCACCAAAGCTGAGGTGAAATCTGCCCCTTCGTTGGCTGCTGAGTCCACAAATATGCACTGTGCAGACTTGTTGGTGGTAAGTGTCGAAAAGAATACGTCAACACACCATCTTCTTGCGGGATGAACCCCTATGACATTTTTTCCAAAATGGGAGGAATGCGTGGTTTGTCGAGCTGCAGCACAACATCGGTAGGATGCGAAGGATCAAGAGTTGTACGGCACAGCGTCTTGGTGGTTGTCCCCCACCCACACCATTTGCGACCTGCATGCTGGCGAGGGAGGATCCGACTCCCCGTGTCCGCATACCGAATGGGTTGCAAGATATGGAGCAGATAGGTTCCTGCACGTTGGCAGATACTGTCACCGGAGTTGAAGAACAAAAACCTGGAAACAACTCCGAACATCACCGGGCGTTCGTTGTCTCAACTAACTATTGGTAAACGGCAAATTGTTAATATAATCAACAACGAGGACTCTCGGCAAAGTCTTCACAATCCGACACGTTTTCTTCTGTGTCAAAACGCCCCTCCATACTGACTTCACCCTGTGGAAAACCGGCTGTTGTATCTGACGCTTCAATCATCAACACACCATCATATACGGCAGGGGTTGTTGACGAAGTGACGTTCATTCGCGGCGACTCCCTCTCAGAAGTCACATTGCAATCCTCGCTGAAGATATCTACACCGAAACTACGGTTCGTCAATAAAAGCCCAACGCCGTACAACATACCCCATTCTAATTATTCAACCTTTTCTAGACTTTCAAGCTTTTGATACAGAGACGTCAGCGCACTGATGGAATTCCACGCTCCAGACCCAGTGCAACTGCATGCACGCTTACGGCCGAACGGTCTGGCCTGCATCGACCTCGCAACCAACCGCCGGTGGACGTATGCGGAACTCAACGCCGACATCCAACGCGCAACCGCGATCCTATCCGAGCATGGGGTCCAGATCGGTGACAGAGTGGCGACAGTATCGGTCAATAATGTCCATCAGATCATTCTGCAACAAGCACTGATGAGGCTGGGCGCAATCCATGTCCCGCTGAACTGGCGCCTCGCCCGGCCCGAGCTCGCGAAGCTGTTGGCAGACTGCACTCCGACCATTCTCTTCACAGATCACGACGATCCACCAGAACTGCCTCTTGGCTGTCGCCACATTGGGTTTTTGACATTCTGTGCGAGCGTGGATGCCGCAGAGCCTGGCCCTCGGCTGGAAGCGCGGCCTTTGCACGAGACGTGCATCATTCTTTACACATCCGGAACCTCTGGGGCGCCCAAGGGGGTTATGTTGACCGGTCAGAGTATCTTGGCGACGACATTCAATTTTAGCATTTTGACAGAAGTCGATACGGGGAGCGTCTTCTTGTGCGACGGTCCCATGTTCCACTTCATGGGGCTCGTCGCCCAGATATGGCCCTCGCTCATGAGAGGTGGCACCTTCATCGTCTCTTCCAAATTTCAACCGGAAACAACCAATGTCCGCCTTAGCGATGCCGGACTCGGCGTCACTCACTACTTTTGCGTGCCTCAGATGGCCGAGGCTCTTGCCGGCGCATCGAATTTCAACCCATCGGCATGGTCAGCCTTGAAAGCCCTCTTTACTGGTGGTGCGCCCAACCCTCCAGCTAGGATTAAGTGGTGGCTGGGTCGTGGGGTCCGAATGGTGGATGGTTATGGATCGACTGAAATGGGGACTTGCTCTGGGATGCCGCTGTCAGCAGAGCTCATTAGCAGTAAGGCCGGTTCAGTGGGTCTTCCGGGACCGTTGACGGCGGTCCGAGTTGTGGACGGAGGTGACCAGGAAGTTCCCGTCGGTGAGCCTGGTGAGATCTTGGTCTCAGGCCCGAGCGTCACGCCGGGCTACTGGAATAGACTAGACGATAATATGGCTGCCTTCACCCAGGACGGCTGGTTTCGGACTGGGGACATCGGGCGGGTCGACGAGGAGGGCTACATTTTTCTCATCGATAGGCGCAAGAACATGTTCATATCTGGGGGAGAGAATGTGTATCCCGCCGAAGTTGAGGCCGCACTGGCTGAACATCCCGGGGTATTAGATGTTGCAGTTGTGGGCGTTTCCGATGAGCTCTGGGGCGAAGCCGGGCGTGCCTATGTCATTGTAGCGCCAAACTCTCAGCTGACTCACAGAGATCTAGTCAGCCATTGTCAGTCACTAATTGCTCGGTTCAAGATTCCGAAAGAGACTGTCTTTCTCGGGAGCTTTCCTCGTACAGGGTCAGGAAAGGTCCAAAAGCATATGTTAACTGAGGACTCTGTAGCAAGACTTTGAGGTTTCCAATCCACTTTGTTCAAAGCCTTTGCAAAATCAAAATAATGATAGCAATTACAACGAAAGGTAAAAGAGTCAAGAATCTCTCTAAAATCACTACGGAGTACAAAAGATTGCGTCGAGGGGGAATCGAACCCCCGGCTCCCCGACGCTGCTTGATGGCAACGGAGAATTTTACCACTAAACCATCGACGCTGAAAATCGACTCATGTGGAGTTGTGGACTGAGATCGTGAGAGGGTCTAGGTGCGATGGGTTGTGGTGTTGCGATGCTGCTGATCATCGTACTCTCAATCCTAGAGCGCCTTTCGACTTTGCGACACAGTTGAGGTGGGCAGAGGAGACAAAGTAAGAATACCGAAAAAGCTAAATTCCTTTCCGACCATCGGTCTCACATAATCCGGATGGCGGGAATCAGATTGCGGGGGCACCACCGCGGTCATCCTATGTGTGGTTCGGCACGCGGACGGCAATCTTGTGAAAGTTGCTGACAAGGATTCGAATCCAGACCCCGTCTTACGGCGCAGGATGCAAGCTGCACAACTCAGGCGCGTCGACTAAACATCAGCTTGCTATATTGAGCATCAAAGTCCGTGTCAGCCAATCGCTAGGCAAAACTAACCAATGAAACAATCCTCGCTCAGCCTACGTGCTGTCACTCTAAGACAAGCGCTTATGATGTTGACAGCATCGCTATCTCACCGCGCAGCCGCTAAAGAGCCCCTCTATTGAGTTTGCTGTTGCCTAGTCACAATTTGGGGCCTTCGCCGAGGACGCCACTGACAATTTGCTCCTTTGTGATTGTCTGCAGCAAGTCAGTTGCACATTATCAACCTGGAAATCCGTATTTCCATTTCAGGTGGTCGTACACCCACTTTTCTTCCAACTTCACAATGTTTGATACCAGCATCTCCATCCTCCAAAAATGCCCGGCAGTGGAGCATTCTGGGGCTTGACCCCCATTATCGACATCCAAAAGACAACCTTGGCGTTGGTCTTCGGTGTCTCACTCTCATTCTACCTTCTCATCATCCACCTGACGGTACCACCCCCAATCCCGGGCATCCCTTACAAACGGAGATGGCGATGGATGCCAGCGGGACACCTCGCCCCCCTCGGCACTTACTGGCTCCTGAGCGGCGAAGCATTCAGCTGGTTTTCTCGGGAATCACTCGATCTCAAGTCACCGATCGTGCAGATATTCCTCCCGACCTTCTCCCTCAGGAGACCCACTGTGATTCTGGCCGACCTACCAGAAATCGAGGAAATCGCCATGAGGAAACTGGGTGAGATGGACAGGGCGTCGCTCATCCACGACATGTTTGGCTTCATCATGCCGAACGCAACGTTCAGTATGAAGACAAATGACAAGTTGAAGTCTCAACGACGCTTATGGGGCGTTGTTTCTTCATCGCAGTTCCTCCATGAGGTCGCTGCTCCCAGGTTCCATGAGTCCATATCACGACTCATCGACTTGTGGAAGCTCAGGTCCAAGGCCAACAACCAACAGCCATTCAGAGCTACAGATGACCTCAAATCAACCGCTCTAGACGCCATTGGCGCAATCTCATTGGGCTTAGACCTTGGCATGCTCCAACAAGAGATACAAAAAGTAAACCCTAAAGCGCAATCACTAAACAAAGGAGATCTTGGACCATGCAGGGATGGACCGCTGTTGGTTCACTCAATGGAAATTTTGCTCCAATGTCTCAACTGGGTGACGACGAGCATCAGTGTGCGTCTGTCGAAGTGGGTTATAGGTCAGCTCTCATACTTTCGCCGTGCCCAGGCTGCCGTCACAAACATCCTCAACTATGAGATCAATGCTGCGCTTGTTCGCATTCAGAGTCAAAATGGAGACCAGAGACATCCGAGATGTGGCTTACAGGAAGTCTTGAAAAGAAACTCGATGTTCTACATCGACCCATCAACTCAAGGCCAGATAAGGGACGAGTTGTTCCAGTTCCTCATCTTTGGCCATGAGACAACAAGTGCCGGGCTCGGATGGGCGTTGAAGCACCTGGCAGACAACCAGGCTGTACAAGCACGCCTGAGAAGCGCCCTCGTTGACGCTTTCGGGCTCGATAAACCTGGACTCCCAACTGCTTCTGATATCGCTTCAACAGATGTGCCATACTTGGATGCGTTCATTGCCGAGGTCCTCCGTGTATCGTACCCTGGCCCTGTGGCTTTCAGAGAGACGATCACTGGGTGCCAGATCCTAGGAGTCAACATCCCGGCTGGGACCCCCGTTCTCCTAGTTACAGGTGGACCCTCTCATTTACAGGAATACTATACAGAGTACGGCAGTGAGCGGAAATCCAAACGCTGGGACACCAACTTGGCACCCCTAGATCAGTTTGTGCCAGAAAGATGGATGCGCTCCGATGGCACATTCAACGCCATTGCGGGCCCATCCTTGCCGTTCTCGACCGGTGCGAGAGGTTGTTTCGGAAGGAAAATTGCGTTATTGGAAATGAAGTTTATGATAAGCATGCTTCTTCTCAGCTTCGAGTTCCCTGAGCTTGAGAGTCGCCTGAGCACATATGGGTCGACAGATGCCCAGATCAGACGACCTACTCAGTGCTACGTTCAACCAATGTAGAGCGCCGTTCGTCAAGAGTATATAATTGCCCGTACAAGGACATAAACCGACCCAGCAGTTTTTCCTTCATTTCGATTTCGATATAGCAAGATATGAACTTGTACATAAAAGGAACACCCTTTGATGGAACCCAAATATAGTTAAGCGTGGATTTTCACCAAACCAAACCAGGGAGCATTGGTTCGTCTAATGCACGGACACGGATGATTACACTTTACTTCTTGTGCTTGATCTTAATAATAAACTGTCGTCTGGTAGTACTCCAGAATTTCCAGTGGATTCTCTTCAACTCAATTACCTAATCAATAACCTTTCATTGCTGCTCGGAAGGATTGCTAGGAAAGCCCGAATGAGAATGTATGAGAAGATCAACATCAAAAGTGTTATCCAGGTAGTCCGCCCAGAAAGTGTCATAAAACATCTGATCAGTTGCCTGATGAAAGCTCTCAGTTCCCGATGGTGCCTCGGACTGGGATGGATTGAGGCCTGCAGAATCCAAGACTCCGTCACTGCCACGGAACGAACTTAATACAGCTGGATTGGCTTCTTCGCCCGCGTACTGCGGGGCAAATGTTCGGTAGTTTGGGCCATGCTTCGACTCCCGTTAGGACTTGCACGCTATAGAATGACGTAGTGCCGAGGAAAAACCGAGAGTACTCACGATGCTAGATGTCACGTTGACGATGGACCCCTGACCGGTAAGTCTCCTCATCAGACTGACGAACGATTTTGATATCCATAACCTGACAGGCCAGGACTTCGACAGTTGACTCAACGCCAGCAAGCATTGCCGTGATTTATTTTCGGCTAGTTGCCGGCGGATTGGGTCTTTGCGGCAAATGACGATGGTATGGATGGAAAGAGCGCCAAATAATGTCGGGACACTGGATACTGTCAGAAGTCGGCATTCCAAGCCTCATTTAAGGATTTCTCACAGATGTATCTGTGCGGATCTGATATTCTCAGCAGCGAGTAGGTCTTCTGCATTGCGAGTGATGGCATCCGCTGCCATGCGAGCTTGCTTGTCTCTTTCTGACTCTGCCGGCGTGAGGTTGTCGATAGCCTTCGGTCTGAACAGGAGGATATGGCAGTATCTATAGAGCGTCAACCCAGGATTTCGATTTTAAGATGATTTCAGGGCATTTACTGGTAAGTGAACTGAACCATGCTAGCCCAGAATGAAGCGCCGAGCGAGCCATCGAGCGGCGCTGGACTCAGGTGCGCCGGCAGACTTGAATTCCATCGGCGGAGCTCTTTCTTCAGCGACTTGGCTTCGTACTTCTCAATCATAGCACGACGTGGGCTGAACTCAGCGACTATTATATCCCCCACTATGAAGGTGTGTGTTAGGTTCGCACCGGAATAGGTTGAGAGGTCATTAGTCTAGACCCAAGGGCAGACGCTCACATATCGTAGTCAGTTTTGCCATCTCCATGACATATGCTACGTGGTATTTGTGCTGAGCGGGTATCAGTCTTTCATCGCCGTTCTTATCGAACTCAAAGTCCTCCTCGGTTAAAGGCTCTATATCGCAGTCCTCATCACGGATCCGACATGGTCGGCCGAATGCTGCAGAGGTATGTCTATCGCGGGTCTAAGAGAATACGATGATCAACTTCAGTCTGCTAAGTAACCTATGTAGGTATTGGACTTACGTAGATGGCCCACCAAATCCTCTTCCTAAGTGATCGTATCCGTGGACTCAAGGCCGAGTGTGACACCCTGAACATTATGAGCATCCACTGTTGATTGAGAGAAAGGCAATAGGCTAGTTGCAACATACGACCTGTGCATGCCGAGAGACTGAGCCATAGTCGCGGCACAATTGACCCAGTAGCAATTATCCTTTTGGTCTTCTGGGCCAGCCCACCAGAAACCTAGAAGCAGCATAACAGCCACAAGATTCATGTGATCACTCTCGTACTCCGCATCGTAAAGAGCTTTGGCGCGAAGATAATGCGTTCTCCTCGCCGTAGCTCGATCAGTGAAGCCAGCTTCCTCGATGAGACTGTCATCGCATACCGTGAAACCGAGGAGGAACATAGCCTGCAGGACTAGAGGCGATGCCTGGCCTTGACGGTACTGTCGTGAGAAGTTCTCTCGGTCGAACACGGGGTACGCTACATGCATGATCTCGAAGAAAGGACGGATGAGCTGGTCCGCGATTTGTGGAGCCGGCATTGTGAGCGCCTCTTGAAGAGAAATCGTCTCTATGACCTTGGGTACATGATTGTAGGCAGACTGGTCTGCGATGCAAGCCGGGATAGGATAGTGGACTTTGACGGGCTCGGTTGAGCCATCTTTTGGTCTGTGGACAACCTCGACGATGTAAGATAGACTCAAATCTACCGAACAAGGATGTTGCCTTTGATTCCTCTGTGTTTGACTTGGTTGGAGTTGGCCATCGTTACTAATTCCATCGGACGTGACGGGGCTGTTAGTGAAGCTGCTGTCTTCGATGAAAACTTCGGTCGGGGCTTCTGTCTCTTGCTCTACTAAGCCCTGCTCATTTCTCCCGGGCTGTACTTGTGAATATTGAGCCTGGGGTTCATGTTCATTGCGTTGCAAGTTGCGCTTTTTACGTATATATCTGGCGCGTCGTGAGCTTCTTTTCAATAAAGGACTTGCATCGGGCTTGGCGGAAACACCTACTTGCCCCTCCTAGATTCTACAAGCTCGCAAGGGATTTGGCGTGTCCGGCATTGCCAGCAGGGATGAGCGTCCCCTGCGTCACATTTGACCCGTCTGGACCTGCACGCTTTGCAAGCCACGCGAGCGCGATCAATCCCAGGCTTCACAGCACTAGTCGAAGAGGAATTTCCGCTCATTATCCCAGAGTCAAATCTCAGGTGGATGAGCGCACGGAATTCGCAAGTCGGCGAGGTTATTCGATGTCAACGGTGTGTTCTTTCGGAGGCGTCGCCAGCTTGAAGATTGAAGAAGCCGAGGTGACTAGATTTTACTACCGAAATGTGGAGAAGCAAGTCACAAAACGCCGCGGGCTCTCGGCTGTGGCAAGCATTACTCATGCGCTACAGTGCTTTTTTCTAGGGCACTACTCCGTAGCAACACCCAGTTTACCCCAGGTCTGCGCAACTAACGATCAAATCATCCAGCTACTAGGAACATTTCAAAGGAGTTGAGAGACCGTTAATTCGTGGCTACGGGTTAAGTCTACGTAAGGCGCACGTGTACATGCTGAGATGGTGAGGTACAGGGAAGGAGATCAATCTTAAATCTAGCAGTAGTACCCACAAAGCCGCATTTATGAATCTACTTCAATGTGGATGCGAGATGCCAGGCTGAAACCGTACCACAACATCGCAATGACCGCGACGAGGTTGAGGTGAATGCTCATTGCGTGGTTTCTTGAAAACCGTCTTCTTACAGCAAGCATGTCTGGACTCGGTTCATCGACATCCCCAGAACGTCTCGCATCGCGTGTTTCTTTTCGGTGTTAGATATGAAGAGAGAAATGATAGTAGGAACGTGTTGGCCGGGCTCACCTTGATGCGTGCGATCAATCATCGCCTGTCTAGACCTCGGCCCGTAGACGAGCAGGTTCGCCAAGGATGTTGCCCCCGCAACCGTGAGCGGGATCCAGTTGCTCTTCACCTTGAACAAGGATGTTGGGCCATGAGGGGGGAACGTGATGACTGTCAAGACAAGGAGAAGTGCCTGGCATCGGAAGTATATCGGAAACAGGCGCTTCTGTAATGTAGTGAATGCGGACTTGGGAAGTTCGAGATAGCAGATTTTGGTGTTGATAAACGTCTGAAACAGTGACGTGCCGAGTAGTGTCCCATAAGAGATGATATGGTAGGGAGCAAGGGTTGTCATGATTGAAGGAATTCCGAACGCCATTGTGGTACTGAGAGATTCAGTACGAAATTGACTCGATCAATTGATAGGCGTTAGCCTATATCCAAATATCAGATTATATAGTAACCATTGATGCCGCTGAAACAAGCAGACGGGATGCGGTGTTCTGCCACATCCGTAAGCTCCGAGCACCTTCGGAAAGAAAACGGACGCCGAGTGGGGCCTGATTGAGTGCAAGGGTAGGCCCAAACCGGCAACTTTACGGCGGCCCGGACGATCCAAGCCAATACTAAGTTGATCTTATTGTGAGAATGATAGCTTGTTTACAGAATATGCAATGGTTTCATAGTTTTTTTTCGCATCCTTTTCTCTGCTCTAACGATCGATGGAAGACTCGGATTGTGCTGGTTGTGTTGCTCACCATTTCACTGTTGCTGACGACTCTTTGAGCCGAGTGGGATGGACCCGAAAGGATTCGGATCTTTCGTGGTGACGCAAGCAACGGCGAATCGATCCAACTCTTTCCGTCACATCTTCGAACGGTCTCTGAGGCATCATGAGAATTTCCAGTGTAGGCATATAGGCACGATCTGAGTATGACATCGATGGTACGCGAAACAGTATCGCTCTAATGGTACCTAATTCATAGATGGCCCAATTGCCTGTGTAAGTTAAGTCATTTGAAATCGCCTCGGAATCAAAGTAACCCTCCTCGCACCCCAAAAGGTATCTTTCTACGAGAGAAAAACACATTGTAATAACTCCGCATAGCCATCAAGATCTCTTACTTCAGATTTCAACGCTCAAGAGTCAACTACCGCAAAAGGATTCGCTCTTTCCTCATATCATAATCGCTAACTGAACCAAGTCTAAGTCTATACGAAATTATGCATCTAAACAAGCAGCAGTCTATTTGCAAACATTCAGATGTTCCGTTATGGCCGCTTTTTCTATGCCTCTATTGTCTTTGAGTTCGTCATCAAGTCATTAATGTGCCATCACAGGCCCGCCCACCGCCTTGCCAATGTTCTTCACTCCAAACGCGCTAGCAATCATGCCGATGCCAGCGAGACCACAGCAGCACAGCAAACCAGTGTTGTACTGCCGCAGGTCACTATGTCCCTTGCTAGTGTCAACAGCCTGGACAACAGCACCTGCCAAAGCGAGACTGACGCCGCTGCCAATCTGGAAAGCCGTGTTGATCATGCCGCCGCAAAGGCTCTTGACGTTGACCGGCACCGAAGCCAGCAGCACGACGGTGATAGTGCAGTAGACGATAGTTACGCCCGCCACACCCATGACGGTGGTCGGAAAGACGTGCTTCCAGAAGTTGAGGTCGTCTTGTCGCATGAGCGCGGAAGGGATAGGCGCGATAGCGCAGATGGCCATGCCGATTACAAGGAGGAGCTTAGTGTTGAAGATCTCGAGCATGCGGGACATGGAGAGGCTGAAGATGAAGCCGGTTGCGCCCATGGGGAGGAACCGGAGGGCGGTCTGACCTGCGCTGAGTTGGTTGACCTCTTGGGCGATGAGAGTGGTGTAGTAGATCGTGGTCTGATATCCTCCATATGAAACTGTTCAAGGGTAAGCACATGGTCTTGGTATTGAAGAAAGGTGTATGACTTACCGAAGCCACCGATCCAAAGAGCAGCAAAGTTCTCGAGCTTCCATAGCGACAGCGGCATGATGGGGTTGGCAACCTTCTTCTCAACGTAGGTGAAGGCAACAATCATGGCGATACTGACGACCAGCAGCGCGATGATGAAGGCCTTGCCCCATCCGTACTCACCACCACTCGAAAGCACAAAGCTGAGCAGGATGAGGCCAGCAGTCGACAGGCCAGCGCCAACAAAATCGAGCTTGGGCTTCGCGGTGCCCTCAAGTCTGTCCTTGGGGAGAAGACCCCAGCCGATAATGCCAAGAATACTGGTGACGGCAGTGGGGATGTAGAAGATGTACCGCCAGCCAAGCGACGAAGTCAAGAAGCCTCCAAAGATAAGACCCAGGCAGAACCCAACGGCACCAGCAGCACCAAAGATTGTCAGTGCAAGCGTGCGGTCTTTGGCGATGAAGTAGTTGCTGATGATGCCGACAGCCGAAGGCACGGTCATGGCAGCGCCGATACCCTGCAAAGCTCGGAAGATGGCCAGCTGAATGAACGAGGTCGCAAAACCATTGGCGATTGTCCATACACTCAGCGTAGCCATCCCAGCGCAGAAGATCATCTTGCGACCAAAGCGATCCGCAAAGACGCCGGCGAGAAGAAGGAAGCCACCAAAGGTCAAGGTGTATGCCGAGATCAGCCACTGCAGCTCTGCATTCTTTACCTTAAAGTCTTTCTGGATGGCGGGGAGCGCAATATTGACGGCCGTCATGAAGATGTTGTCCATGAGCTGAGCGCCGCAGGTGCAGAGCAGCACGATGGCTCCTCGGAACGATGCGACAGTGCCGACGTCCGGGTAGGCTTGCCCTGCGCCGATCTCGTACTCAGCGGGCGTCTGGGTACCGGACCCACCTCCGGGTGAGGGCGGGCCCGAGCTCAAGCCGGAGACGGGGGACGGCGGCCGTGTTGATTGAGGGGTAGTGAACTGGGAAGGGACTTCGCGAATGGTGCTCACGGGGCCGGGTTTCGCGGCTTTGGGGAAGGCGGGCAACTCAAAGACGTTGTCTTTGGACTCGCGCCTATCCCTTGACCTGTGCCGGCTGATGGCAGATGCGCTTCGTACAAGCTCATCGAGGTCCTCTGACTGGTCGTGCTCGAATGTTACGCGCGAGGTTTGAGAGACTGTGCTTCGGCGGCGAGTGACGGGCATGCCTGGGTAACCCGCTGGTGGAACGAAAGTCGGGGCTTCCTCAAGCGCCGAGGTGCGGCGGCCGAGAGGCTCGCCGTCACCGTCCGCTGAGACCCGGTGGTCAAGAGAGTGCTTGTCGTGGGGCATCTTTTGTTGTCTCTGTTGCAAAAAAAGAGTGAAGATTAGAAGGGAAAATGAGATTATGTGGAAGGACGTCAACCACAGGAAACGATTTCGAGATTCATCAGCGTCTCACGATATTGAAATACATGAAATCGCGGTGAACAATGTAGTGTTCGCGATGGACTCGGTCCTTGAGAAAGAAGGGTTGCAATGATATCAACCTAATAACCCCTTATCAGTTGGGCAGTGGCTGCAGAGTTTGCCACATGGCAGACTTTTGTCATGTTCATCTCCCAGACCTCAGGCGATTCTCATGTCGCGATGCTCCACAGGTTTCCACAGGCTTGTTTGCGCGCCAATCTCACGCCGGACACCACAAGTGTCCCTTGTCACTGAACCTTCCCCAATGTTTGTCAAGCAAGCGCTGTTGGGTAAAATCTAAGAGCCGGGTCTAAGTGAGTGTGTGACTCGTGAGGGGGCCACCGGCGGGGTGGTGCCGAAAATCTCAACCCAACGGAGTGAAAACTTTTAGACATCTTGGCATGGGGGTCCGTTTCGTTACGCCGTCGCTGTTTTTGTCTATCTGTAGGGCTGAAGAACACCAAACATTTCGATGCCTCGAAGAAGAGAGTTAGAATTTTAGATAGAACCGGGCAGTTTCCGCCTCCAAGATCCGTCATCGGGGCTCCACTTGTAAGACTTTCACAGGGGTCCAGACCCTTGCGCCACTGTTTGTCTCGCACTGAAATTTCCTATCTAGATTCAATAGGCAATTCTCAGCCACGAGCCCCCGGCTCTTCAATCAATCTTGCTTCGGGATCCGTTTTCCGATCCCAGCAAATACAGATGAGTTTTTGCCCAACTTACCCCTCTGGTTCTTTAATGGCGATTATCGGCTCTGTCAATGTGTGTTCGATGTCGATCCGGAACCCTTCTCTTGAGCCGCCACGTCTTGGTGATTCCGGCTGCCACCACGCCATGCGCTGCAAGGCACCCGCAGCGCATCACAACCCTTATCACCGGCTAATGCTATTTCCGCAACCAATTGCAGTAGCATTCCTGAACTTGTGGTTGCTGCTATCTTTGAAGCTTGTTTCCGTGTTTGTCTTTCACATGTCAAGACTGATGCACGTTGTCTCACGGTCTTTCACCGCCCTCTATGTCAACCAGTCGTCGAAAACGCTGTGAATGTCTAGCCTGTCCATGGTTGGAATGATGAGTCTGTACATACTAGTGTGCGTTATTGTTTAACTTGCTGGACCCATCCTCTGCTGGCCCTGCCATAGGGCCACAGTTTCCAGTCAAATTTCCAAGACTGTTTGGCTGGCTTGGTTGAGCTGGCTTTTTCGGAGCATCCCGACCACAGAAGAATGCCTCCAGTCTGTGGGACAAGTGAAATACAAGTTTCTCAGCGTATGTACCTTTTCGAATCCATGACAGGAGGGTCTCTCTGTAAACCCAGTCTATCGTAGATCTTGAGTATCTATTTCTTATAAAGTTTGCTTGTTTGAACAAGTATCTTCTACAGCAAGTCCCTCTAGTTGTGATCGCTCGCGACCACAGCCAAAAATTGCGTGCTGTCCCTATTGTATAACATGTTTTCCGACCACCCCAATTTCTTTCGCAACGAGTTCAAACGCGATTACAGGTGAGGTAAATCACATTCTAAATCGCATTTGTGAAGGGACTAGGATCCAAATCCGGTATTTACTCGGCTTGACTTGGTACGGACAAACCCGACTTCACCACGGCCCCACCTTCGGACGCGGCCCCGCTTTGAGCGACCGGTCCTTCGTATACTAGCTCTTGCATCCCGGAAGGCTTTTCGAGTGGAAAAGATAAGACAGGATCAGTTGATGCTCGACCTATCTACGCAAGCTTAGTTCCTGAGTCTTGTAGTTTCATCGCATTGTTTCAGACGTTGGCAAAAGCACCCTACTAGACGCTTAGAGTGAGCCAACTGTGCCCACTCTCTGGATACATCATCGCGCAGCATGGTCTCCAGCTAGACGGTTACGCTTGAACAACAACCATAAGCCAGTCTCCATCCCACAACATCAGAGTGACCTGGGATTTCGCCCGTGTTAGGAGAGCTGAAAACCATCGCAATTGTGCAATTTCCAAGTTCGGTTGAGGCGACATGAACGAAACCCACATCAACACCGCGAGTATCGCCGATGAACTGCGTGGCCCGCGCTTCACCGGCTCCAGATTTCCGTCATTGTTTCCACCGCCGACCCGCAAATCTGAGTATTTCTACGGGATGATGATGTCAGGTTGCAGTAGATATGCGACCGTTTCTTCGATTGAAACCCCAGAGATGAGCAGAAAAATGGCAGAAAGGTTCCCAGTGTTTCGGCTCCGCTGGATAGGAAAGCCGAATTAGAGGAGGATGCGGGAGAACCTCAACTCAGAAAGGGAGACTTTTCTGGACCTTACCTCGGATCCTCTTTTTCACCGATAGACACGCTGCAGTAACATCGCAAGTAGACTCTTGGCAGGATAGCGTCATATCTCCAACTAAACGCAGGAAACTTTGCCTTCCGTGTGGAAAATCTGGAAGTTGATAAACAAGCCCGAAGACCCGGGGAAGGGAGATCTGGGGCAGATGTTCTAGATAGCATTCGCCATCGACTTCTGAGATGGGTTGTTCCTGATTTTATGAATTTCCGTCAGCACACCTATCACATTCACATCGACGATCGCGACGCACACCGGGTCAATATTTTGGGGTTCTTCTGACCTAAATCTGACGTCAAAGGCAAGCATCGTCACACCTACCGTCTGGGTCGAGGCAGCTATTCGTCAGAGATAGTATTGTCAACATGGTTTCAGCGCCTCCTGGTGATAATTCTCGGGCCTCGCGACCAAGCAACGTCGATGAGACGATTCCGACCCGAGACAGCAGCGTAACACGCGTCGACCGGAGCTTTGACGGCGAGAAACCACAACAGCCCCTCAACGAAAAGTCCGAGGATGCGCCAACCGGGGGCTTCTTTGAAGGCGGCTTGGGCCGAGACGAAGAGGCTGAAGGCACGCGCAGGCAGGAAGACCTAGCAAGGGCAACGAGCAGCAAGCAGCCTGAGTACACCCCCGATGGGAAGCGTGTCATCACCGAGGATGAGTGCTATCATCTGCTGGGATACTCGTGGCCGGCATGGAAAAAGTGGATGCTTCTCTCCTCTATTTTTGCCGTTCAGGTGTCTATGAACTTCAACACTAGTGTCTTTCCTAGCGCTGTTACTCCTATCAGCGAGGGGTTCCATGTCAGTGAGCAGGCGGCACGTAGTGCACAGTGTGCTTTCTTAGTTCTCTACGCTTTTGGATGTGAGCTGTGGGCTCCTTGGAGTGAGGAGTTCGGACGATGGAAGATCTTGCAGTAAGCACTGAGAGGCCACTCTAGCTTTTCACAACTAATATTAAGTCTAGATGCTCCCTATTCCTCGTCAACATATGGCAGATCCTTGCTGCACTGGCTCCCAATTTCGGCAGCATAGTTGTCGCTCGAGCCCTAGTAAGTCAGAGATCTTTCTATGCTAGTGAGCCAGTAACTGACTATGCTTGATCTGAATAGGGCGGTCTCAGCTCAGCTGGAGGTAGTGTGACTCTCGGCATGGTTGCTGATCTCTACCAGCCCGAGGAGCAGCAGTGGGCAGTCCTCTTCGTCGTTCTGTCTTCCGTTCTCGGAACTTCCGTCGGCCCTGTCGCTGGAGGACCTATTCAGAAGTTTCTTCCGTGGTACTGGAATCTGTGGATTCAGATGATCTTCGGCGTTGTCGTCCAAGCCGTCCACTTCTTCATGCCCGAGAGCCGCTCCACCATAATCATGGACAGGGAAGCAAAGCGGCGACGCACATCCGGCGAAGATACCAATATCTACGGACCCAACGAGGTCAAGAAGCCTCGGCTTTCGATGCACGAGTTTGCCATCACGTGGATGCGTCCCTTTGAGATGTTCCTTAGAGAGCCCATCGTTCTCTCCTGCTCTCTGCTTTCAGGTTTCTCCGATGCCCTTATCTTCACCTTCCAAGAAGGTTTCACGCCGGTGTTCAACAAGTGGGGTTTCGGGACTCTGCAAAAGGCCTGGGCTTTCATCCCAATCAATATCGGCTATATCCTCGCTTACATCTCCTATGTGCCATGGATCATCAGAGACCATCGTGTCATCAAGGCGAAAGGTCCTGATGCACTCGCACCTGAGCGTCGCCTGAAGTGGTTGCTGTATCTTGCACCCCTCGAAACCATTGGGCTCTTCGGCTTCGCTTGGACCTCCATGGGACCTCCCGAATCTCATTGGATCGCGCCCATGATCTTCTCCTGCCTCATCGCCATTGCCAACTTTGCCATCTACATGAGCACGGTCGATTACATGATCGCCGCATACGGACCCTACTCTGCGTCTGCTACCGGTGGTAATGGGTTTGCACGAGACTTCCTTGCTGGCATTGCAGCGATGTACTCTACTCCACTGTATGAGAACATTGGAAGTTCACGACACACTGAGTATGCAAGCACTGTCCTCGCCTGTCTGGCATTCATGGTCACCATTCCAGTATATCTCATCTACTGGAAGGGGCCCGTCATTAGAGAGAGGTCCAAGTTTGCTCAATCCCTGGACGCCGATCGACGTTCCAAGGGTGGACGTCGCGTCATTGAAGCTCCCGAGGAGCAATTGGAGCCCAAAAACCTTTGAACAGCAAAGAGTGTGAACGCAGCTAAAGGGGTATAAGTACGAAGTAGGCTGCTATGAGCACGCATTGCGAAGGTTGACTACCAACGACGTGTACTTAAAGTACATAATGACATGAACGATACCAATGTACAATAATTTCAAGTGCAATTCCCATTCACGTGAAAGAAATATGTAGCTTGTCTTATTGTCGGCAAAGGTGAGGATTTCCCAATAATTTGGTGATCTATTTGTCATCTCCGAACTTCTAAGCATCTACTAACCCAGACGCCGGCCTCTCTAGAATATCCGATACAAAATTCATAGTCCGTCTTGCGCCATTTATGCCTCAACACCGATGGTGATGTAGGCGAGCATGCCCTTGGTAACATCCTCACCGTCGAGGGGCTCGACAACCATGTTGGGGTTCCAGTTACCCTTGCTCTCATCCGCAAAGATGCTGTCAATGTCGTTGGTGGTGCGGTTGATCTCGGTGTGGCTGACATAGGGCTCGAGGGCCATGATCTGCTGGCTGAGGGGCTCGTCGAAGAAGAGCTGGCCGGTGCTGACAATGTTGGAAGCGACGACGGTGCCGTTGCTGCGGACGGACCAGTCGGTGTGGACCTGGGCGTGGATGTGAATGGTGCGCTCGACGTAGAAACCGGGGAAGACGGTCTTCATCTCCATGATGCCGTTAGAGTCGGTAGGCCAGATGCCGCGGAGCCAGGTGGTGGCGTCGGTGTGCAGGTCCAGATCGGGGCCGATAGTGACGTTGAGCTGGTCGAGGAGCTCTTCGAAGGGAGTGTTGGGGCTGTGGCCCGTGAATGAGCTGTAAGATCCGGTCTATGGGCAATCCAGTTAGTCAACGTGTGAGGGTTGAAGCCTTTCGATTTACTTACAGCGTTGCAGTGCCAAAGGTCCTGGTGATGGTCAGCGCTCAATATCATGATTCAGATTGGGATTAGGGGTACTTACGACTAAGACGTCGCTCATAACTTCGCAGGTATTGACGTTGAGAACACCAATATCCAGATAGAGAGGAACACCGGGTTGATCTTCGCTCATATCCTGGCGCAGGGTCTGAGACTGAGGCCAGACATAGGGTCCCTTGGTGACCTCGGGCGTCAGGACGCAAGTGTCGTTCTGAAGGGTGTTATAGTGGGGACCCTCAGTATGAATAGTGACATTGCTGTCGCGCTGAACGAGAGAGCGGCTGACGAGCGAGCGCTTCTCGGCCTGACGCTTCCTGCGAACCTCCTGGAACTGGCCGGATTGCACCGAGCAACGCTTGGCGAGGTTGGAACGGCGGGCAATCTCTGAGTGGCTCAGAGTGTGGTCATGACCCGGGTGAGCAACGGCCACTCCCGTGAGGAGCGCAGTAGCGAGAGCAAGGAGCTGGAACTGCATATTGTAGGTTGAAAAAGAGTGTAAGTCGAGAAAGAGTGTTGTAGAGACTGTTCAACGAGAGAATGTCTGGGACCTATTGTCAAAGTCAAGCTACCGAGATCTAAGCTGCTGATCAAGCTAGAACTGATCAACAACGAGGGAGCTGATCCTTCATTTATACGTTCATCCTTTCTTTCGATTGTTCTTCACCTTCCACGAATAGACGAAAAATATCATCTCCCCTGCTTCGTCCCGTATGACCCCTGACGAGGATCCAGAAAACAAGTTCATCTCATCAGGACGTTTCTTTTGTCAGCCATTGCCCCCCTCTCATCACGCTCAGATCCGTGAAACTGCCAAACCAAGCTGCAGTCCACCTTTCACGATCTCCAATTCTCCACTGACGTCGGGTTCGCACCACAGGTCGCTCCCACATCCCGAAGAACCACGTTCTGATCAATTCCCCATTCGGCAGTTCGTCGCATAGTAAAAGGCGATTCGCCAATCACGGCCCAGATATTACGGTTGACTTCTGGGGTCCGAAGCCCCCAAGCCGCACCCGGACGCCATCCCCGGCGGGCCGCCAAGACTCCTGGCCGCGTAAGTTCAGGGGCGGTCCGCCTGGTCACTGCACGTTGAATCAACCTTGACCCGACGACCAAGCATAATCAGTGGAGGCATTGGGCGACCGATGAGAGCCGCGGTTGACCCGAGCCGAAAGATCACTGATGTGGTGTCGCCGATGTTGTCATGGGTGTGGATAGGAGATTTTCGCCTTGGCAAAATGCCATTGCAAGATCCGCATCGATTACAACCCAAGACCGGAATGCGGGCGTCGAAAAAATCGGAAGCTGTCCAATTCGACAGTTACCAGAAGTTCTGCAATCTAGAAGGTGCATCAACTAGAGCCTTCGCTTGTTAAATCTGCTGACGAAGTGGTTGCGAATTTTCCAGAGTTCCAGACTACTTCCGGTGACTGACCCCTAGAGGAGCGGCAGTGTATTATGCAGAATCCCCGAGTGGCGCGTCGGATTTGAGCCGACGCGGTATGATATCAGTAGCCTTAAGAACCCTTTTCATCTCTCAACTATTGGCAGCCAGTCCTTTTTGGCCTGCAGAGCCTATGATGACTTTGCATGTACCATAATTCCTACTAGGGAGCTTGGGAGTCCGCGAGAAGAGCCGTAAGTGGTAAATTTTATTTCTAACAAGTTTTCACCTCTTGCCAGCCCACAAGAGCATTTCTGTAAGGTGGGGATTTTCGAGAAGGGTCCGGCAGAGCCAAGAGTCGAATTCACAGCAACACGACTCATATCGTTCCCGTGGAATCAGTCACAGCACCCACTCATACGCATCTCTGTTCCTTATTACGTCAGTATCTGCCAAGAAGCTTGACTCGGGACCCGGAATCTCTTGCCATCTTAATTAGGAAAGTCATAACTTCTCCGTCCCGGAGTCGGCGGCGCGGCGGCAGCTGCCATGATATTTCAACGATTGCCAAGTCCCCAGCAGCTGTCTAGATCCGCGGAGGCTCTGTACTGATAAAGTCCGAAGGTCGACGGTTCCACCTTTGAATGTTTGAATCAGACTGGAGAATTTTGCGCTCATGACGTTGAGAAGGGCACCTCAAGTCGTTATCTAGAGGCTAGGGAATACTCACAAATGTGCTTGGAGTATCGATTTTTTTACCAGTTCGAAAAGCTTAGGTACGTTGGGTCCCCATGCTCATCCCCCTTTAGTTCAGATGTCGGGGAGATAGTGCCATGGGTTAGAGTTGTATTATTAAACCTATCGGCGTCCCCTTTACCTGGGTCGTACTTGCCGATTGCTAATTGTTGACGTTCGCCCACATCTCCTCGCAGGGATTGAACCTGATTATTGTCCATGCCCAATCGTTTGCGTGACCCATATAGAAAGGTACCATAGAAGTTGGCCAATTGTGTGCAAACAGTTTCTAAACACTCAAGTAAAATGGAATCACTCCAGGGTCCATGCCGGTCCAGATGAATGGCATGCCCTGACTTAAACCCTCGCTGTCAAACCGCCGCCCGCTGATCCTCCTACTGATACTACCTATGTCTTTCATGAACCGGTCATTTGCCACCGCAACAGCCCTGTTGGTCCCGGCGAGAAGACTTTCAGCGTTGAACATGTATCGCAGAGTCTGGTTCTTCTCGACAACCTGAGGCCTGTTGAAACGTGCGAGAAGAGTAATCTGGTCGACCGACTTTTGTTCGTTGGGGAGCCAAGGGAGGAGGTTTTCGATTCGTCCCTTCTTCGTAGGAAGAGGCGCGTACAGAGAAAGGGGATGAAGTGGTAGCACGCCAGACGCCGTCACGGGCTCACCTTGATTCAGAACATGGCGTGAAACACCTGTCAACCATGCCATGTGGGACAGAATATCAACCAGCTGCTTCCTGCTTCTCAGCGGCGCTGATGGGAAGTCGATGACTTCTGCAGGACCATTGGATTCGGTAATCCAAGCTTGTAACTCCCAATCTTTGGACAGCACTCGATCAGACTTGTAGGTTGCCTCGACGAAAGCTTCAATGAATTTCCGAATGACTCCAACGATCTCTTTCCCATCTTCATAAAAGGGAAAATGAGGAAGTTTCGGGCCAGAAGGCGAGTGTAACAGACCACGTAATCGCAGGTTATCCTCAAAGTAATTGCTTTGAAACGGACCGGCAACAGTCGGATAGAACTCTGCACCGAATTGGCGTACGGCTACATTTGAAAAGGCAAAGTTCTGGTCAAAGAAACCGCCTGGGTTGAAGAGCACTCTGTCGCCTATGGGTCGGATAGCATAAGCCTGATACATGAGTCGTTCCATGAGGTTGAGGACAGGGTGACGGCTGCTGAACGTGCGAAGGGCAGCTAGGTAGACAATCTCAGCAACATCGTGGGAATTAAGGAGATGATAGACCTGGCCGTGGAAAAAGTCGTTGACGTTGAACATGATCTTGGCCAGTAGCCACTCATTAGTCGTGTCCAAGGGTGTGTATGTAAGATCAGCGCCGACATTCGTCTTGATGGCCAGGGGAAGAATGTGGTCGGAGCGCTTGTCAAGGTAGAACAGCGCTTGGCACGCAGCTGAGTATCGGCCTTGTTGAGCGAAGTACTTTTTCTGATAGCTGTGGTCGGCCAAGAATAGACGACCGTCCCTATGAAGTGAGTCGAGCGTTGTTCCAGTAATCTTCCTGACTGTCTTATCGTCAAGAGGGAAAGGTAATTTGTCCTTTCTGTAGGTCAGACGGCGAATGATGTAAGGATTGGTTGAGAGGCGCTCCATAGCGAACAAAAGGTCCGATGTAAAGTTGCTGAACTGGCCTTTGGCGATGCCGCCAGGGACCGATCCTGACCAGTGACCATCGTAGAGGATTTTGAAGTCCTCGAGACGCTTGAGGCCACCATGCTTGAACCATAGGTGTTAGCCAGACGATTATTAGCATTAATGAACATAATTTGGACTACCTTGGTGATGTCTTCAAGCGCCGCGGCACTTTCATTGATCGCAAATCGAGCAACATGTTCCGAATCCTTCAACCACAAGCTCTGATCGCGCAAGGAAATCTGGGTCCCCAACGATCCATTGGGGAAGAAGGATGTATCTCCTATCAATGGTTCTCCATAGGTGATTACCTGTTGCTTGAGTTTGATTTCCTCTGCCCTTGAGGAAAGGTCATTATCTTCGTTAGGTAGAGTATATTTAGTCGGGGCCGCCTGCTGTGTAGACACAGTTGTCGGGCTGAGAGCAGTTGTGACGGAGGGTGACTGGCTGCTAACTGCGCTGACACTGTCAATTGCCACCAGTATGCTGAAGGTGAAATACAGTCTCATGTTTGTGATCAATGTCGAATGTCTATTGAGAATAGGGCGCCATAGGAAGAGCTGAACTGATAGACCGCAATGTCGTTGCCGAACATAAAGGCCATTAAATTCACTTCCAACCTATTCAGACTCTGGCAATTATATAATGTTACTTGGAAGGAATACCTCCACAAGGAAAAGTTCCAAAAGGGCTGCATTCGATTCCCATTGCACATTGCAACCCTTCCTACGCCGACCATTGCTAATCGTTCCGCACAGCTGATCCAATCGCCGCATCGCAAGCATGCTACCGTGTGGTTTGTGCAACTGCAACCCGCATATCCTCACCCGAATGTCTCAATAGATCGGTTTCTTTTCCATTCATCACCCGACATTGTGCAACGCATAGATGATGGGTGCTATCTGTCTAAGACTATGGTCTTTAAGCCGTGCAGTCCTGAACTAGAACGGCGACATTGGACAGGTTCAAGGGTTTCAAACAAACTGCCTCACTCATGACTCTAGCCTTTGATCGTCACAACATGGGCTCATAGCGTGTTTACTTGAACGACTGCAACTTGACTCTCATTCGTGCTCAGAGCTTCGAGTGCCTTGCAGGATGATTCCTGTTCCCTCAAGCCGCAGATGTCTCCGTTTACTTCTGACACTTGACTGCAAGCGCTCTACAAAAATTTCTGTAGACACCGCTGCTACCCGCCCGATTTTCCAAATTTGATTTGCAGTAGCCAAAGGTTCAAAACCTACCCCGAGGACCCGGCCGCCAGTAGCTGCTGCCGGAGGAATCCATATCGCGGTTGTGATGAAGTTGCAATCGGGTCTGACCCCTCCCAAACAATTAGCTCAAATAGTCTTAGACATCACTTGCTAGATGGGGTGACATGACTTGAATAATGTTACTGTCTAACGACGTAGCAGACTAGGAGGGTCGAACGAAGGCACAAGACTAGCCGAGTCTGGGTAAAGTACGTGCCTTTGATGCTCACCGTCAACTACCTCACAATCACCCCAATATTGGTCGCATCAAGGCGTTCGTCCTTTTCGCCAAGCTGCGCCCCATTGCTCTCGACGAACATGCGGAAGTCGCACGAGGAGGCAAAGTGTAAGAACCCCGCGTTCGTAACATGGCCAAACAGATCCTGGTCACCAGCCCCGTGTGACTCCCTTGATGCAGGTACTTGAGGTATAGCAAATACGAACAGGAGCGTGCGAATTCAGTTGTAGCTCTCGTCGTTACCTTGCTGTATGAGATCAAGTTGCGTTGGAGGCTTTCCCGCTGAGCTGCCTCCAGGTACGTAGTAAAAGGACACTTCTAGGTGCGAGCTGAAAAGCTTATTAGGCATTGTTATTTCGGGTGTGCTTGGCAAATAGAGGTGTGTTGACTGCCTCATGCGAGTCATCGCAGAATGAAGGGGAGTACGAGTGATGGAGATTGAGCACTCTGCTCGATAATCGAATCCCACATGTTAGCTAATTCATCGAGCAATATTGGAAGGTCCATGTGATTTATTGTTCGTAGATGCCACAGACTTATTGTATGGGGGCTGGCGCATTTGTGTCACTCGATTTCCTGCCGTCAGCTTACCGCATCACACGGGCACGATGCTGAATCTAATACGTGTGCTGAGGGCTAAGGAAATCCACTCGTGTTCATTAAACCCTAAACTTTCTTCTAACGGTGTTGATTCGCATAGAAACAACATACCAGCTGCGGCTCTGAGGGTGGATAGACCTACTGCGGCCTGTGGTCAGTTGCGAAGGAATTATTAGCCGATTGCAGGAGTCCTCTTCTCTGCTGCATCCCTCCATTGAAATATTTCTGGCAGATCGAACTCGGAAATTTTTCAAGTCTCGCAGTGAGTACGCTGAGAGTTTCTTTCATTTTGAAATTGAGCGACGTCCATGTGCAAACTGGATATGATTTACTTGATCAGACCAGAGCAACCCTAATGCAGTTTACAAGCGATGTGGTCCACGTTGAGGATCAAGATAACGTACAACTTGAACGTCATTCTCAGAATTCAATAACGACACACGTGAGTTCGGGTTCAAGAGCTCCAGTGGCTGTGAAGCTTATACAGACAGAAGGTCATCCTTACCAAGGTCCCCGGGGGGCAGATACAAGTGAGTTCAGAGGGATCTATTACTACGAAATGTGTAACATGTGCACTTAGTCTGGTGGAAGATTGTGAAATGGTCAACACTCAGGCGTGCAAAGAAACCGAGCCACAGTTACTACCTAACTAATTTAGACTTCCTCAGCCGTATCTTCCCAGCATCGCTATGCACAGTTATACACGAGGGGAATGGAAACTTTACCCGGGTTTAATGCCGGAAAAATGCAGAAGGTAATATAGTAAGTGAAGAACCGTTCATTAGTCTTCAGGTAAGAATCTACTTTCATCCTATCATTACTCTCTCCCTCCATCTTCTTAGATCATCGTAGTAACATGCATAATCCTTATTTACGGTGCTGAGCTCATGACCGATGGCTCGAAGCGCCGATGAATATAGCCGGTGAGGACCTATGTTTCGTACCCGTAGAATGGAGGGCCCACCATATCCAGACATCCAGTGATTAAATGTTGGTGACTCCCCACTTAACACCAGCCGGAATAGTCGCTGCCCATCCATGCTTCCATCTTGTAAAATCTCGTTGAAAATTGTCCAACCTCCTGACCATTCTTGTTGATTGAAAACAAGCTTTGGTGCTGCTATTGGACAATACCCTGGCGTAAGCAGAAGTTTCGTCAGGGAAATTGAGCCTAGAACGCTTTCAGCCGCCTCAGTGATGACTGCTAGCATAGCAGCGTCGTTGACTTCAAAAACAACTTCCCCTGGATTCGTTCGCATAGTTGTAGTTCGATCTTCCGATATGATACTGACTCTGCCGCTTGACGGTACGATGGAAACAAGGTACTTTTGGCCTTCCAAGTCTTCCAGCACATTTGCCGACAAGAAGGACTGAATGACCTCCACTATGTTTGACCACCATCGCGGCCGTTCTGCATCATCCGCAGGGTGGGAGAAGAGTTTCCACACCAAAAGTTTGCCCAGAGTGTGACTCAAAACACAACGCCACGCCGTTGAGACATCCCTGTAGCAGGCCAGCTGAAGTGGTCGAATGATACTATCATTCAACCCTCGTCGGGTATTCGAGTACTTTCTCAGTACTCTTTGAATCATCGAAAGCCGATAAGAATTGCCTCCTTGTAAGACTTTCGGACCAACAGCTTCATCGTTTTCGATCCAGCCAGAAGAAGTCAAGATGGCTTCGCACCCAGCTCGGAGAGCAAGCGACTCTACTAAAGTCACTTCTTCGATACCTGCCGTGGCTGCCTGCAGTGTTTCCTCAGCCCAGTCGACGGCTGCTGTGTAAAGGAATGCTTCTGCTAAAAAATGATGATGCGCCTTCGCTAAGTCTGGTGTTGATAACCAATTTTTCAAGTTTAGCCCTATGATTTTGAGACACTGATATGTGAACGAAAGCAGATTATGTGTGTTTCGGTGTGATGAGATCTTAGCCAGATGTTGGAAGGGCCTAAAGCTCGGGAGTAACCCTCCGCTTGTGTCGTATTTTAGTGACAAATGGGTTTTGTTAGCAGTGGCAGTGGTTATGCTATACGTTCTATTGATGATACGCCGTAACATCAGGTCTGTTTTTATCGCCCGTGAAAGGAGGTCGTCTTGCTTCGGAACATAAGGGCCAAAAAGTTCTTTGCCCTCCTCGCTGTTACAAATAAAATCGATAGCTGTCCGGTGTGTGAAACCAATGCCTGTTTCGCCCCAAGGCTTGAATTTATGCTCGTAGTCATTAAGGGACGAGAAAGCTTCTTCGGGATCAGTTATGTCCAGTAGCCCGGCACACATCGCTGGTAGTTTTCTCCCCAAGCGATGCCATTTTTGCCAGAGTAATTCCATATCGGGTAGCTCTCGATCGGCCATGAAGGACTTCAGCATCTCGTCGTCTGTAGAAATGGCAAGTCCGAGAAGGTTGGCGTTGGGTTCCCAGATAAGAAAACGATCACGTTGTGTCTTGAACTCCATAGCCATATAAAAAAGAAGTACTGTCTTTCTTCGATAGAGGTCGCTGTCTTCCTTCATTCGGGACCACATCTCCTTATAAAGTTTCGTCAGGTCCTTGGGCAGGGACTCCACGCGACTGTAAAGAGTGTCCACATCATCGTAGTTGTCGAGACCTCGTTTGAGACTGTTCAAGACAAGAACGACCCAGACAAAGACTCCTTCAGCTTTTTCACAGATAAGTTCGGATAAATCATCCGTTCCACCATATCCAAGGTCAATTTCCATAGCCTCAAGGCGTTTTCGCGTAAGCAAGTGAATATCTCGACTGGTCAGATCCTGGATCTTGAGCATCGGATATTTCTCAAGGAAGCGCTTCAAGGTTGGCTCAGGGCGGCTAGAGACGCAGATTTTGATTTGATTTGTGGAGACAAGCTGGTCAATTAGGTCCAGAAGTCGATCAACTCCGTCGTCCGGTGTATCAGCAACTTCATCCAAGCCATCCAAAAGCACCACGTATTTGCAGGTTGACTCTCGTATAAAATCCAGAAGGGTTTTCTCAAGTTCTTTTGCAGTCCAGTCTGTGTCTGCATCCTTCGTTGATAGATTCGGCTGTCTTCCCAAGATTTGCATTGCATGGCTCTTCCTAAGGTCCAGGATTTGATGAAGCAAAGAGCAGAGCACGCCTTTGATACTTTGTTGCATAAGAGTACCAGGTCTCCACAGATAATGAGAAATACAGTGAGATGCTGAATTACAGCATTCCATGGTTTTACTATTCTTTTCAATGTATTTCATGAGTGTGCTTTTCCCCGAACCTGGTTTGCCACTAATCCAGTATGTCTTCTGGGTGTCATCTTTCAACCAGTCGACGAAGCTATCCCAGGGACGAGGCACGGAGTAGCTGACACCGTCAGAACCCTCCGATAATTCGGATGGCTCATCGGACATGATGCTAGACGTTTCGACGTTGACGGGCTCATCGCTGTATGCGCTAGAGTTGCCTTCCGTAGAATACTCCGACTCCGAGTCGCTGAGATACATTGAATCGCTGAAGATCCATCGAAAGGTTCTTGGATGCGATTCCGAAACCTGATTTCTTCGTTCATTCATTCCAGGATACTTTAGACTTTTCAAAAGCTGCTGATAGGCCTGCTCTTTGGCCTTTGAGTCCTCTCTGGACGTCATCCTCTGTGAAAAAGTATCCTGGACATCCTGGGCAGATGATAAAACATGATTCTTGATAGAAATCTCATGATTAGAAAGCTTGAGGGACACGTGTGACTTGATTTCGTTCTGCGTCTTCGATGATTCCATGGTGACGTGGTCTTGAATTCCCTTCGTTTGTGTCTCAATGGCATTTCGAAGGATGCTATTCGAAGCCGCATGGTCTGTGATGAATTGCTGGAGCTCTTGGCTCAGATCTGAAAAGCCCTTGTTGTTCGCTTGGTAGAGTGCTTCTACTCTGGCGAACAGTCGCTCGAGAATCGATGTGTCCATGACTTTCTGCGCGTCATCCAGATTCCCTTTGAGTCTCTCAAGTCTCCTCTTCCGCCACAGTATCTTTGGCGCAGCGACCAGCGCTCTAAGTTTGCCTGGCTGACTAGGAGACAAAAACTTCATCTCCTCCTCCAAATCTCTGGCATTCTTGACACACTTGGCGGCAAGCTCGAGAAGTCGCTTCTCCATTGTCGGTGCTCTGGTGGCAGCGGCAGTGGGAGCAGTAGTAGCAACGGGCGTCGGCCGTTTGCCCATGGACTTCTCCAAACCATCGCACACGGCTTTGAGACTCTCGGCGTGTTCAGAGAGACCAGGTTCGGGGGAGCCGCTCTCGTAGACACGTCGACACATCGAGATGGCCTCGTGGCCGAAGCTGATGAGCTGCATGACGTTGCAGGCGAGGCTCAGGCCCGCGATGCCTTCGAGGCTGGACATGGCGGGCCGTTTCTGGTGACCAGCCCAGTAGGTGAGGTAGGATAGTTTTTGAGCAAGGTAAAATCAAAAGGTTGTCGGTTGCCAGGATCGTCTGAGTTGTCGATCCGTGGGGTTTACGCTGAGGGATTTGAGCAAAGAGGCAACAGACGACGATGAGGCACCCAGAGACAGGCAAAACGAGACGATGCAGAAGGGAAGATTGACGTGGCAGGGAATTTGGGAGGGGCGTTGGTCGGGTGCGTTTACTTGGCAAGACGCAGCCTGATTGTGATATGGCAAGTTCGACTGCATTGGAGGAACCGCGCCTCCCTCGTGATCTGACGCGCATTCAGACACGCCCAATCAAGTTCAAGTTGCTCATGCATTGCCGGATTGGACGAGGTGAAGTGCACTGCAATTTTCACAACGAGAAACTCGTGATTGGAGATTTTGAGGAGCAGCTCTGAGCTTCATTATACATCTAACCGAGTACTCCAGGCGATATCAACCCGGCCAGCAAATAATTAGGTAACCAAACGCCATATATCTCATGCCTTCCTTCTACCATAACGACGCTCTCTCCATCTACTTTCTCGAATGCACCATCCGCCCCTTGACCCAAACCATCTTGGTATTCCGATCATCCCCATTAAACACCCACTTCGCAACCCGATTCTCCCAGCTCTCCCACCCAAACACATCAACATTCCCATCCTCCTCCTGCTCCCCATCCTCGTCAACAACAGGCAACCCAATAAGCTGCGCATCCCACTGCAAACCAACCTCAAACCCGCCAATCTTCTCACCCAAGCCAACAACCTTGGCACCGCCCCTCGTGCCGAGATACAACACCTCCTCAACCGTCAACTTAGCCCTCTCCTTCTCCTCCCCCTTCAGCCCCATCGCAACATGCCTCGACACCAACGCAGCCTGTCTCGCCGCCTCGAGTATACTAGGACTATACCCACCGCTCATATCCGTCCCCAACCCGACATCGATCCCCTTATCCCACAACCACCTCACCCTCGCCGCACCGCTCGTGATGGAGCTGTTGCTACACGGACAATGCGACACCTTCGCGCCCCGCTCCGCAATCGTATCCGCCTCCTTCTCCGACAAATGAATCGCGTGCGCGAGCACCATCTTCTCCCCCAACAGCCCATGGCTATCATACACATCCGTATAACTCTCCGCCTCGGGGAACAACTCCTTCACAAGCTCAATTTCCCCCTCATTCTCCGAAATATGCGTCTGCGCGAGGACATCCAACTCCCGTTGCAACTCGCTCAACCCCCTCATCGCCTCCCCCGAACAAGCCGGCGCAAACCGCGGCGTCAGCACCGGCGCGACGAGCTCAAAGCCCGGGTCGATCCGCCGGATATGCTCCACGCTCTCCCTCGTCTTGCGCAGCGAGTCGGCCGCGGACTCGTCCTTGTAGTAGTCCGGGCACAACCCTTCGCGGTCCATGCATACCCGCCCAACGAACGCCCGCTGGCCAAGGGCGAGGCAGATGTCGGCGAGGAGGTTCGTTGCGGCGACGTCGATTGTGGCGTAGTATGCCGAGGTGGTGGTGCCGTGGGCGAGCGTGCGTTTCACGCAGGCCGTGTAGACGCGTTTTGCCTTTTTCTGGTCGGCGAGGGAGGATTCGAGGGGGAAGGTGTAGGTGTTTAGCCAGTCGAGGAGGGTTGATTTGCCAAAGATGCCGACGTTTGGATATTGTGATGCGTGGACGTGGGTATCTGGTGGTGGGGTTGGTTAGCTCTGGGTACGATGTCTCACTACGGGCGGGAGAGCATCCCGAGACAGATGATCATTATCCCGGGCGCACGAAGAGAAAGAAAGAATCTGAGCATACCAATGAACCCAGGAAAGAAAAACTGCCCCTCCTTGCCAACACAAACCTCGACATCGCCAGCTGCCCAGCCCAAGTGCGGCAGAACCTCCGCCTCGGCCTTCTTCAAATCGCACTCCGCCTCAACAGCGACAATCGTTCCTGCGGCGTCGACGCAGACGGCCGCGCCGTGGAGGTACTCGAGCTGCTCCTTTGTCTTGGAGTGGATGAAAGAGCCGAGGAAGAGCTTATTGCGCGGCTGCGACTGCGCTTGCGTGGGAGTCTCCGTTGCTGGTGCGCCGGCGGGCGATAGGTCCCTGATCATGTCGCCCATTATACTATTGCTATTCGTCTACTGTTTTGACCAGAGTCGATATTGAGACTCTCTTAAGAAAAGTGTCCAAATGAAGGTTCGGTGGTAGACTATATCGCAGGTGGCCGTGACGTCGGGATAATCTGTCTTCGGTCTTCGGTTGTCGTCGGCAGAGTCGGCGGCGGTTGAAACGAAAATCCCCACCACGTTGCTCTCTCCGTCTTCTTTGTTTCCAATTCCCCGTGTGCTTCAAAAGCCGCAGGTGATCGCTAACGCTGACAATTCCCTCTCACCGAGGATACCACAGAACGATGGACCGGAATGGCAATTGCTGGGTCAATTCCCTCAAAGGACAGCAGTCACGGGATGAACGTTGCAAAAGGTGGTACGGAGAGGATGAGGTAAGTGAGGTAAGGCAGAAAAGGTAAAAGATGGGTATCGTCTCTTCGGTTCGAGTTTCCCAAAACCCCTCTCTTCAAAAGCAAGAAAAAAGCGAAGGGGGAAAGAAAAGGAAGAGAAGGGGACCACGGTAAATACATGCGGTGCAACAGATGACGCGAAGCCAAAGAAAGCATGTGCTTCGTCCTTTTTGTCAAGGTCAAGGTAAACGTAGTTCGCCCGGCGGCCGTCTCCTTCCACGTTCGGGTCTCCCCAGGATGCTACCCCCCAATTTACCCCTCCAAGAGATAAGACGCGGAATACGGAGACGGACTGATTGACAGGGGATGGGCCCGACTCAACGGGACTAAGTGTCAAAGCAAAGAAGCTTTCCTCTCTGAGCGTAGCTGGATGTGACTACCTAAACCAACAACAGGAACAAAACTGCATTAGTCAAAAGTCTGGAATTAAGGATTTGTTGGGTTACAATTGCATACCAGTCTTCTCGAGGTACGGAACTGCGACCCCAAACTGCTGCCAAACACCACCAATGCGCGCCCCGCCCCCCACTTCGCAACGCACCGGCCGCACGTCGTACGGCGCTCGCCGCTGGCCGACCGCAGCTCTCATCCCCCTCGGCTTGACTCCATCCGGATAGCTCTCCAGCATTCCCACCATAGCTCTTCCAATCCACATCACCCCCGTTCCTCAGCCCTTCCAAGTCACGCCTCGATCTATTCAAGCCACCGTCTGATAAGTTTGATAAGCATCCTTTGTTCGTCAGGGCGGCACGGCATGGCCATGTCTTACTCTTGGGACACTCTTGGATAGGCTCATTATCACAAAACCACATGGTCCTCCACCGCCATTCCGACTCTTCCCAAAGTCATAATGTTCTCATCTTCCCCTCGAGACGGGTAGTCGAATCCGTCCCGCCCTTCCGTCCGCATGCTGCGCCAGTCGGGAGAAGCATCAGTGTTCCGGGTCCCTGCAGTCACTCTTCGTAGATCCCCGCTGTCAAAATAGCTGCTGTGCTTGCCAGCTGCCACTAGCTTTCCAGTCATCAGTCATTGTATCACCCTCTGCCTTGTTTGCCCGTCAGACAAAGCAATGCCATCGGACATTTTATCACACGCCTCTCGGAAACTTTACACAGCTTGTTGAACCTTGGTTGCTCTATTTCTCTTCTTGTGCCACAATTAAAACTCTAGAATAATAAACGCCCCAAACATTTCATGGAATGACCAAACACAAAGCTTTCTAAAACGCAGCATGATAAAACACTCATCAAGAAACCACATCCCTAATTTGTACAACGCTTACGCCGTCTAGAGTCATTCAATGCCCTCCTCCTTCTTTTTATCATTCGTTATACCGTAGCCCGATTGCTCCTTCTGTCAAGCGCGCATACACAGCTTATGCTGCGGCACCAGGGCCCTCGTGCTCACCAGCGAGACCGTTGACTCCGTTGGGGCCAGGGCCGTCCTGGGTGTACTGATCCCAGTTCGCCAGGATTTGAGCAATCTTGGGCGAGTTGGTCAGCTTGTAAACATCCTCAAAGTATTCCTTGGTGATGGCGAAAGGCTTCGCTGTCACGTTGGGGATGTATTTGCCGACAAGCTTGGCAGGGTCGATCGTCGTCTTGTTGATCTTCTTGAGAAGGAACGATCTGAAAGGCTTGACGCCAGACCGCAGGAAGGTCGAGTGGAAAGGCACATCGATACCGCGGAGAGGAATCGTCGCGAAGCCACGCTGGAGCTCCAGGGGTGTGGGCTTCTTGAGGGTAGCCTCGGCACTGCCCTTGATGATCTCCTTGAGAGCACCCTTGGCCTCATCGATGTTGCCACGCATCTCCTCAATGTCAATCTTCTGTTGCTTGAGGAAGTTGGTGACGCCAGTGAGGGTGTCGAGCGCGCGCAGGTCACCAGCAGCCACGTACTGCATGTTGGCAATGTTGTAGTTGACAATCTCAAGGAGCCAGCCAGTCTCCTCAGAGATGCAGTCGACAACGAACTGCAGAGCCTCCTCGTTGAAAGTCTTGGAGATTCTGCTCGGGTTGATGGCGCACATGGAGTAGTTGGATCGGCCAGCGGCGTCACGCTCGACAGCGACTTGCATGGTCAAGCCACGGTAGAAGACGACCGACACCAAACTCTCAATGGGCATGACCTCGGCCAAGGCGGCGAGGGCAGAGTACTCACCCAGGGAGTGACCAGCGAAAGTGCAGTCACGGGGAACAAGACCCTTTGACTTCATGTCCTCAAAGCTAGCCTTCTCCATGAGGGTAAGGGCAGGCTGAGTGAACTGCGTGGCGGACAGCAGGCCAGTGGGCGAGCGGTAGGTGTAAGAGGTGGTCTTCTCGTCAATCTCCTTGAAGATGCGCTCAGACTTGATGCTTCCATCGGCGGCAACGGTCTCGAAGGTCATGGCCATGTAGTTCTGGCGGATGGCCTTGCCGCGAGGGCCACCGAAGTAAACGGTAAGCTCCTTCGGGTTGTT